TGCCTGAGCTGGTCCCTTTGCCTGCTTTAATCTTTGACCCTTCTTTCATACTGCCCTTCTGCCTGGAATAAATCTCCCTTTAAAGTCCAACGAGCAGTCTGCAGTTCCTCTTTCAAGATATTCCTTGGAAACTGTCCTCTTCAGAGCAGTATTCCATCTTTACTCAAATACCACAATACTATAAAGACATGCCTTCCATCTCCCTCCTGGGGCAACCTGGAAAAGCTCCGTCTTTTCTTCATCCAATTTTTGTTGGAAATATACCTATTTGCCTACAAACCCTACTCTGCCCCTTGAAGAAGGGAGTTGAAGGAAAACATTGGAAAGATAGACAATAAACCCTCGAAGCAGAAATGTGGAATGAGGAAGATGAGCCCTCGGTGTCCTTGCTGGGATTCTTTTCGGTCTGATGCATTCAAAATCGGTACTAGTGTAATTCTGTCACTGCCTCACTGGGTGACCATGAAAACATTGCTTTAGCTTGAATTTCTCAGGTACCTTTTTTGTGAAGATGGAGGTTTCTAAAATGCTATGAAAGCTGAGAAAGAAGAGTCTCTGAATTCAGCGTCGTTCATGTCTGCATTGTCGTATTTATGGCTGGTTTCCTTTGTGAAAGGGGCACAATCTCACTCTTCCCTAAGCTGTGGCCTTTCTGAGTATTGTCATGCTTTGCTGCTTCCCCTCATTTCTCCTGTGGAATCAATGCATTAATTAAGCCTTTGTAACACATTGTCCTTTTTAACATGCCATATGTTGAGTCAAACTCATGTTGCAAAGTCATAATGTACTGTACTGGCCCAGAAAAGTCTATCAGTGCCCTTCCAGCCCCGTTTTCTATCTGAAACACCCACCCAGCTGGGGTCTTCTGGGGGGAGAAAGAATTTACCTTTTGGTCTTGAGAGAACCTAGGTGTTAGGTGCTGTCTGAAAGAAGCTGATTTCACGTACCGATGAAAATATTAACAGGGCTGCTTTGGGCAGAATGCTCTTGTTTTCCTCCTTAATGCTGCTAGAAATTCTGGAGCTTGAGGCAAAGGAATAAAGGAAGGGTTGATGTTGTCAGTTGGAAAGGTGGAGATTAGGATCGTGCCCTTTAGAGCCCCCTTGCCTGGTTTGTGTTGAACACTGTCATACAGACCATCGTCTGAAGGGAGAAATCCGATCCATTTGGAGTTGTAGGAGAGAAGCTAACAAGGGACAAATTAAAATCTTGTATTCCCACTTGATTTGCTTCTTCCCCCTCAGGGCTCATCCAAAGCCTTTTGAGGTTTGCTGCAGATTGAATGAAACCCTGCTGGATGCCAGTGATGAGGAATAATGGGATTAAGTGAGGAAAGTTTTCCTTAAATAGTAGGAAAAACCTTTACAACCCTAAGATCAAATGGGCCACAGAGCTGGCTGCCAAGAGGTGTGGTGAAATCTTTTTCACAGGAAATGTTCAAGCGAAGACTTGAACCTCAGCCATTCGCGAAGGGCTGGAGATATTGGAGTTCGGCCACAGCGTGCGGGTGTGGGCTCTGATCTTTAGGAATGGCTTGAACGTATAGTGTTTCCTTCTAGAGCTGAACAATCTCATGAAGATGTGCTGCTCTTCGATTAGCTTTGTGCAACCCAGAGTTTTGTTGTTGTTCTTGCTCTGAATTCGGCTTGGCCCCCACTGCGTTCTGCTCCTCCTCCAGCCTTCTGACATGGGGGACGGAAAACTTTCGTTAACATCCTTCAACCTATCTGGATGCTGTATCTGATAGATTCTCACATGTTCCTAACGGTCTGTAAGAATATATGGTAGGAAGGAGGCCTCTGAAGAGAACCATCCTTGGTTTTGATGCGTTTGTAGTAATGGCTACTTAAATTATTCCAAGAAGACACATGTGCTTTGGATTTCCACGTCAAATCTGACAGTAAGAGAACTGAATACATAGAATCATAGAACAGTTTGAGTTGGAAGGGACCATGGAGGTCATCTAGTCCGACCCCCCTGCAGTGAGCAGGGACACCTTCCACTAGATGACATTGCCCAGAGCCCAACCTGACCTTGACATTCTCCCATTTATTTCACTTATTTGTCAAGTTGAAGAGTTGGTTTTGTTGATGAATTTAAAGACTTCTTAAATACTCTGCTATTGTCATTGTTAGAGATGGGATGCTGCACTGGACCGACCGTCGGTTTGGCTCAGTAAGGCATTGAATGTGTTTTTATGCAAGATGCATTTCCACGTCTATACAAAATGGGGAAAGGGTTGGTATTTGGTCATAATATAACTACTGGGAAATCATGGATATGGTGGAAATCCAAGGACATTGGCAAGTGCCAGCTGGGCAATTTAGAAGAAGCAAGAAAAGGGAGTTAATGAATTCAAGCTTGCTTGGTAGTGATCTATGCTCAGATATGAGAACAGGTGTCAGGAGAACTCTCTGACAGATCAAGAGATTTTTACACAAAAAACCAAAAACAAACAAACAAAAAAAACCAAAACCCAAACCAAAGGGTTTGCATGAAGCCAGGAAGGTATTCTTCCCCTGGGGAATACACAGGAGGATATTCCGCTTATTTCTTGAGGCATTAAATGAAGGATAAATCCTCCAAGGTTCATGTGTAGGTTTTATTCCTCAAAAGGCAGCTCCTCTTTAGAATTCTCTCCCCCTGTATACATAAGTGTCCTGCTGAGATACAAGAAAATAATGAAAACTACTTGAATGGCGTGAGTAGAAAGGATGTATGAATCTATTTTTCTGCATGTATAACCTTCCTGTCATATTCACCATACAGAGTTAGCTGGCTAGGAAGGACATCATTCTGCTGCTTTCATAGATCATGTTGGCAGGAACTATAAAGGGCATCTGCTTTTTCTGAATAATAGCTTGTTTAAAAAACAAACAAAAAAAAACCCAAAACCAACTTTTTTTTTTTTAATTAGGATCAGGTGAGCATTTTACTCCTATCACTATTCTTCGTTTATTTATTGTTGGCATGCCCAAAATTTCTAACAACCTTGTCTGAAAAAAAAATATTTCTGAAAATATATATCAAAACAAAAGAAGAGTGTGTGCATACTCCACAAACAGAATGCAAAATCATGCAAGAAATGAGATTATCTCCTCTAAGCCAGCCTGCTGTTCTGTTTCAGACATTGCTGAATGAGCTGGACCGAAGCATGGGACGGTACCGAGATGAAGTAAATCTCAAAACAGCCATCATGTCCTTTATCAATGCTGTGCTGAACGCAGGTGCTGGTGAGGTGGGTCACTTCAAAAATGTTATGCTTGGATTAATTTACCTTGGAAATGGTTAGTAGATTAAGTCCCAAATCTTGTGTTATTGAGTGGATATACATTGTGGAAAATAATGCTGAATTGTTAATATCAGCCCTAGAATGTCTTTTATTTTATTTCATTCCCACTCTCTTCTAATATAACGTAGACTACTTGCACTGAAATGATCTGAAATTATTGCTTTCGGTTGTTTTGTTTTGTTTTTTAAGAACTGGGAAGCGTTTACCTCTTGATTTCAGCCTTTTAGAAAACATTTTGTTTTGCCTTCAGAAATATTTTGAAATATTAAGTTGTTTTGACTCAAAGCCAAACTCAAAACATTTAAATTGAACAATGTCAAACGGAAACACTTCATAAAAGACAGTTTGGTGGTTTTTCTTTCATTTACAAGACTTTCTTTTGGGTCTGAAGGATAGTTTAGACTGCTTTTGTTTCATGAAAAAAAAACCTTTTTTTTTTTTTTTTTTAACATTGGCTGTTCTTTTTTTGGTTAAACCACAACAGACAACAAGCTGATAAGAGCTCTGCCTGGCAATGAATTTGTCTGAGTTTGCAGAGCTCCTTGTAGGTAAATGAGGACTGTGTTTTTAAGTGAAACAGAGGCAGAGGTGTTAATATTTTTTTAATTTACTGGAATTAATGATCCCGTGAATTTGGTGTCAGGATAGAGGATATTAAAAGGGAAGAAATGAGATTTTAAGTAATTTTTAAAAATGTGATTTAAAGCTTTTGGAACCCGATAACTTTGTTTTCTCCCACTTCTTAAGGACAATTTGGAGTTCCGATTACACCTACGATATGAGTTCCTAATGCTGGGAATTCAACCCGTCATTGACAAGCTAAGAGGACACGAGAATGCCACGCTGGATAGGTAAGACATGTTTTCTGAGAACAGTTATTGATGAACAGAAAGAGTTTGTGGAAACTCTTCTCCATTGGGGGTTCAGATTTAAGCACAACGCTGTCTCTGTGCCTTAAAAACTGACTCCCTTTAAAGACAAAAATTATATTTATCCTTAACATTAAAACCAGCAGATGAAGTAGGAAACAGAGATACTAAATTGGCAGTGGTTGTGGCAAGGAGTTCCTGAATTGCTTTTTCTCTCGGCTGGGGATGGCAATCAGAATGAAAAAAAATTTAAAAAAAAAAAGATTCTGATTCTTTTCTCTTGTATCAAAACTGCAACAAAAGCCTGTGCTGGGAGGAGGGAGAGGAACCAGTAGTTCATTGGCTTCGTTGAGACTGAGTATGTGTGGTCCAAGTGCAGGATCTGAGTTTCTCAGTCTTTTTTCTGATCTAGCTTGTGTCACAACCTCCTAAACAGCAGCCCTGGCATAACTATGAGAGAAGAGGCAGCTGTGGTGGGCGAAGGGTAGAGATGCCCAGGGGGCAAGAGAGAGGAACGAGGAGCATCTTCAAAGGGCCCTGCTACTGCACAAAATGTGCCGCTGAATGACACCTTCAAATTCCTCTGTTTAAAAGCAATACAGATACTAAATGCTTTCTCCTCTAGCAATTCCATATTTTGCCACAGTAATTGAAGCTGCTAATGACCTTAAATTAAACCCTTCACAAAGCCACATGCTGAAATAAACTTGGAGTAAACAATCTGAACGATTTGCCCGAGACGCTTCAAGATGCTAAAAGGCTGATGAACCAATGAGGAGCCTGGTCACATCCAGTTGCTTGACCCAACGAAGCATTTTAAGGTGTAAGAGCAGGCAGCCGTGGGAGTCCACCTTCTCCCGTGTCCACGCGAAGCTTTGTGGAGATGCATTGACCTGCTGATGTGTCCCTGATTGCCTGCTACTCCAAGCCCCTTCCTGCAGAGCGGGGCTGATTTGCAGGGATCCGATACCTGGGATTTCCTAGATAAGAGTGTCAGGTTTGCCAAAGCATGTGGTGAGAAACCTCTGGGTCAGCTCTGTGCCTGCAGCTTTCAAGGCATCGTCTTCTCAAACCTCCGCTGTCAGGAGCTGCTATGGAGCAATAGAGCGATCAAACAGAACGTGCCTGAGATCCGTGTTCCTTTGGCCAGGAACCAGGAGCGTTTACGAGGGGCTTAGGGGTACTCTTGAGAATGATCCCAGGTGCCTGGATTACGCAGCCTATATGCCAGCTCTGTCCAGGGGGGTGTGCCACAGCCTTTCTCCACATCGTATGCTGTGCTCTGCTCTCCATGCAAGAGAAGTCCAGACGACATGGTCAAACGTGTCCCTCGCCAGGTCCTCCAGATCCCAACAGAGGCATGCTGCTGTGCTTATCGGTAGGCAAATGTAAAGGCAGTTGTGAGATCTGCTGTTTCACTCCTCCACTGAATGCACCTCTGCTCCACCAAGTAAAAGAAACAACTTGTTGATGGTCTGATGTCTGGTTACCAAGCGTGGCATGGACTTCTAAGAAGTGTATTATCACTGCAGGCATGGCATTCATCACAAACAGAATATCCCTTTCCTGTTTTATGTTTATTTTTAGTAGCCTTACCTCAACACAGGGACTTAGCACAAGGATTAAAGAGCACATATACCTCAGCTAGCCGTTCCTTTCAGCCTCTCACTGGTCCCCATGGGTTGCCTTGCACACCTATCCCAGCACTTCACGTAAGAAAGGATTCCCAACTTCCAGGCGTTCCAGCTGGGCACGAGGTGTCGCTGCTTCTGTAGTGACACGCTTAGTTGAAGTCTGAATTATGCCATGAACTCTGGCAGGTTTTGTTTGGTTTCTTTTTCTGTTTTCTCTTAGGCACTTAGATTTCTTTGAGATGGTCAGAAACGAAGATGACCTGGAACTGGCCAAGCGGTTTGACCTGGTAAGTTTTTCTCTGGAGTACCTGAACTTGCCAAAGCTGAACATCCACTTCTGGATGTTCCCTTAGCGTCCCTTGAAAATGATGATTGACTTTGGTGCCGAGAGTGGCTGGTGCTCTTGTTTCCACTGTTTCTCCTTTAGCAAGTAGGGGATCTGTGATGAGTGAAGAATGGAAAGATGCTGCCAAGCGTCTTTGACAGAGATTTATTTCTTTTATTTGGCCGAAGGTTCAGGAGAGCAGGAGGTTCTCAACCCTGCTTTCATCTTCTCAGTCCTGATGGTCCAGCTGCATTCTAGTTTCAGACATCCCCTTTCCAGCAGGACTATGGGTGAAGCTTGGTTCTTCTCTGATACTTTTCCCAAGATGACAGGAACCTCTCCCAAAGGCTGTCACCTGCAGAGGATTGGTACTTTAGATTGGGTGCATTTTAAAGATGAGCATAAAACAAGGACAGTTTCCACAACCTCTAGCAATAGTAAGAGGCTGTACGCTCCAGAAGAGTTATAATGTCCTTTCTTCTTGCTGCACACCCATACAGAAGAACTAGCCCTTTCCTGCTTGGCTTCTACTATTTGTGCCACAACTTACTAGGACACAAATGTTTTGCTTGCTGCAGAGTAGCTCCGGGTGGCTTTGCGTGCCTCCCACCTTTCTAGACCTTTATTTTGGGGATTTTTTTCCATACTGGAATGGGAGCGGCAATGCTGATCTCAAAGACCCGTGTGCCTGCTCCTCACTGGCACTTGCATCTGGACATTGTGGGAGACTCTACAGAGGTCCAGCTGCTAGAAATTTCCCTTTCTCAGCTAGCCAGGCTCTCATTGTGCATGATTCTTCTCTTACTTGTTCTTCCACTGCCTTCTCTCACGTCAGATCCACATTGACACAAAAAGTGCCTCTCAGATGTTTGAGTTGATCAAGAAGAGACTGAAGCACACGGACGCTTATCCGTACTTGTTATCCATCCTCCAGCACTGCTTGCAGTTGCCATGTGAGTACATCACCGTGTTCCAGAGCAAGGGGTTCTGAAGAACTGGGTGAAGCTTTGGTGGAGGTACAGGGTCACAGATACCAGGACACACACCGCCTTCGTCTTCCATTCGGAACTTGGCAGTGCCTAAGGGACTTGTCTCCATCCAGCAGATTTTTGTCACCATACTTAAAGCAGCAGCTTGACTTCTCTGCACTTGCAAATAAAATGAAGTAGCTGAGACATTCCAGTTAGGCACTGTCAGAGCTTTTAAATTAGAATTTTTTAAAAAAGAGCCTTTGTGCTCTAGAACAGGGAATTCCCAGAAATAGATACCATTTTGAATATTAACAAAATGCACAGAGGAATTTTTCTGGTGAAACAGCAGCGTACTGAAAGCTGCTCTGTCGCTGCGGAATTCCACAGCAAGCCTTCAGGCTGCAGTCTCATGGCAGTGCATCAGTGGAGAGCTCCTGAACTCAAACTGAAAAATAATATTGGCATTTGCTTTCTAAAGAAGTGATAGGATTCTTCTTGTTCACTGCAATAAAATAATTTGGTTATACTTCCCGAGTGTAGTAGCTGAGCAAAGGCAGAGCAGGATCACTGAAGAACTGCCTGACTTGATCCTGGTGGGTATCGGGTGCGGGTCTTCACTCCTTTCAGCCATGCCTGAGCAGTCAAACTGAGAAGGGAACACGAGGGAGAGGTACTGTGGTGGTTTTTTTCAGAAAAATGTGGTATATTTTCAGGCACTTATTGAATTCAAGTACTGCCAGGCACAAAGTCAAGCAGTTCTTTGTCCCAGTGGTCTCCTTGACAGTGCTTGAGCTTTAGGTATTGACCTGGATTTTTGATGGCAGAAGGGCTAAATCCTGCTAGGCTAGGACAGGATTGTACTGGAGAGGTTTTAAAGAACCTAAAGGTCTAGGGTTTGTAACTCAGGGAGCTGAGGTGAACTTGATGTTGCTCTGGCTCTTCTGTCTGAAATCCATGGGACCAGTCCCTTGGGTGCCATTTCTGTTCTTTCTCTCCACACTTTTTGGTCATATTTGTATGGATTTTTCATGCCAGTTGTGTTTCACTGACCTGCAGATAACCAAGCATGGAGGTAGAACATCTCATTGTTTTTACAGTGTCTGGTCACGATGTTACCTGGATACCAAAACCCAACAAAAACCAAAAAAAGCCCAAAACACCCAACATCAAGCCCCAGAAAATCCTGAGTAACAGCTATCACAAAGGAATCACTTCTATAGACATTTCAAGTGCAAGTTAGAGCTAATCTGTCAAAAGGGCTGCACAGCCTGAAGGTGCAAGTCAGTTGCCCGTGCCTGGGATGTGTTGTTCCCATATGGCAGGTATTTGTAAATAACCTGATAGCAACAGTTCTGGGATGGGCTTTGTGTGCTCTAGTTTTCTACATACAGGATGAGATGGAAGGTGGAAGGGAAGGAATGCCAGTCTGTTGGCAGGTTTGTGCACTTTGGCGTGGAAGTGGAAGTTCTCATGGGTTGATCTTTTTTTCATGCAGATAAGAGGAATGGAGGAAACTTCCAGCAGTGGCAGCTGTTGGACAGGATACTCCAACAGATTGTTCTTCAGGATGAACGAGGAGATGATCCTGATACAGCTCCGTTGGAAAACTTCAACGTCAAAAATATCATTAAAATGTAAGCTGCATTATTATTGTTTATTTCTGTTATGCAGGTATAAGTATATGATAAGCAAATAGATGCTTAGGAAATAAAATATCATATCTGAGGACTTTCTTATTTTAACTTACAGCTTCTCATTGTCTTGTTGGTCTTCTAGATAGTTTCCTTCTCATGATACCTTAACTAGACACTATTTTCTAGCAAAGTCCTTGCCTTTGGCTTCTAATTTCTATGAAATATTTAGCTGGTGAGAAGAGCAGAAAAAATACCCATGATCTTATAACAAGGCTTCCTCGTGTTTCTTTTTTCATTCAGGATGTTGATGAAAGCTTTCATTGATATTCAAGAAAAAAAAAAATGGTCATCTCTAATTAGATCTCATTCCTCGCTAATCAGCACATAGCTTTGAAAGATTTCAAATAGTGGAAAGCAGCCCCCACTAGTACACAGAACCTTTTACCTCTTCGTAAAATGTCTGCATGCTCTCACCCACAGACTTGGCTGAGGGCACTACCATTATTTTTTCCCATAGGATGCATCATTTGAGAAGTCTAGCTACATGAGCTGGCTCTCATCTCAACTTCCCTCTTCTCAGTCCTTTTTTAGCCAAACTTTTGGACTCTTCATCCCATCCATCTGCCTCTGCAGGTAATTCATGGCCCATTACCCTTCTGAATTATCCACTGAAAAGAGCATTTTATAGAGCATAAGCCTCATATAAAACCAAATTCTCCTGTACTAAAAATCTTACAGTCCCTCCTGTTACAGGCGTGAGCCAAAATCAAAACTGATTTTTTTGTCATGGAAAAATACACCGGTGTTGCTCTCTTTCTGTCTGGATAGCAGACTTCATTGCAGACGTTGTGCCTGATCTTCCCTTGCTACTTGCAGAGCTACTCTGCATATCTAATCAATCCCCAGCATGCCCTGCATAGTTGCTGTCAGGAATAGGAAATAGCTGTGCCAGGATGAGATATGAGCATTGCCTCGTTACTGATATATTACCAAATAGATAAGCATCCTCCCTCCTTGTGAAAAAAAACAAAACAGAACCACAGAAAGTAGAAAACGAGATGGCAATCTGGTGTGGTATTAAGAGTGGGGTAATTTGTAACCCACAGCAGCTATGGTGATTTTAGTGATGACTTTTCTCTTTCAGAAGAAGTAGACTTGACACTTTAAGGGCATTACCTAAAAACAGGAAAACATCAGGATTTTTCCCCCAGGCATTCCTTTATCCCTTTTCAGGACCTTGAGCAACAAGCCATCACATTTATATTAGCTATTGGCTACAGTAAGGATTGGGATCGCCGGTATGATCCCATATAAACGTGTAAATTCACCAGGTTGCCTTTTGCTGATGACTACATGTAATGCCCATTTGCCTTTCAGCACGGGTAGCTCAGAACAAGTCTAAATGATCTGATTTCATCTTTCAGGCTGGTGAATGAAAATGAAGTCAAGCAGTGGAGGGACCAAGCAGAGAAGTTTCGGAAAGGTGAGTGCATCCTCTGTGCTTGGGGAGGCCAAAGAGGAGGCGAGACTGGTCCCAACTTGGTCACAGAGCAGCAAGCAGCAGAACTGGGCACAACTCTTCCTTTTGTGGCCAGACCCTGCTTTGCTCCCTCCAGTCCATTTTGTCTCGTGGTGATCAGTTTGCGTGTTTCATAGTATGGACCTTCCCGCAGCCATAGAATCATTAAGGTTGGAAAGACCTCAAGAACATAGGACATCGCTGTCCTGATGGCTGAAGATCATTGTCAGGACAGTCAGATTCTGTTTCAGTTTTCCTACTCTCATTATACATACCCCGCTGAACTTGTCAGTTTTATTTCAGCACAACCTGCATCTCTTCGGGGACTGTTCATGAGCTTTATTTCCTCAGCCCTACCTGCCTCTTCCCCCTAGATCACGCCGAGCTGATGAGCAGGCTAGAGAAGAAGGAGCGGGAATGTGAGACAAAGACCCAGGAGAAAGATGAAATGATGAAGACACTGAACAAAATGAAGGACAAGCTGCAGAAGGAATCCTTGGAGCTGCGCCAGACCCGGGACCAGATGAACGACCTGGTGGCTCAACTTAATGAATTCTCGGTATGAGACTGGGACTCCTCCCGTCCCGCTTAAAGCCTTCTGACTAGTGAATGATGAACAAAAGCACATTGAGTGAGACCGAAATCCCTGAGCTGGTGGTACAGAATGGATAATGCAGGGGCTGGTCCATTCCTTCTCCTCAACCACCTTCCTTGCAGGAGCTGCCAAGGCACACGTGTCCTCCTCCAGCCATAATTTTTGATTTATTTTTTTTATTTTACAATTATTTAAAATAATTTTTACTGCTGAGTGGGGTGGCCCTGATTGTTATTTCAGTGGAACAGAGAGAAATCTCCCAGATATTAAAGTAAATTTAGTGAAGAAACAGGATTCCTGTCATGGTTCGTGAGCATCTGTACTGCCTTGGAGCTCTGCAGCAGGGACATTCGCAGCTGCTCCCTCCTGCTCGGTGCTCCTTCTGCCCCTTAGCCTCAGCTCCCCAGGACACAGCCCTGACACTGCAGAAGCAGATTCAGTCCCTCCTCCGCTCTCCCACTAATGACAGGTATTCAGTATTTCAAACCCTAAGGTTGAAAGCCCAGGAGTTCAAAAGTTCATAAGATTGAACATTTTTTTTTTTTCGTACATAAGGAGAAAATAATACATTTTGGCTTCTTTTGCTAACTTTCTGTTTTTCTGAGCCATTTCTGGTTCCTTTTTTCAAGCTCTTCTCCATAACTTCAATGGCTTGAAACTTTCTCTAAAACGAAAGCTGAGATTCCTCCCTTTATTGCATGGCTTTGAGTGCAGGAGGCTTTAAAGAAAACATCAAATATTTTCAGACTCGTAATAAAATCGCATCAGCTGGCAACATGGAGTTATTGTGCCTTTTAAACTGCTTTCTTTTTCTCAGTGGTTTTTTTTTTAATTATTTTCCAGCATGGGGGCAGCATTTCCTTCCCACCCCCACCGCCTCCTCCTCCAGGTGGCCCGTTAGCTTTGTCCTCTTCTCACATCTCGGAGAGTTTGCCGCCGCTGCCACCTCCTCTGCCTTTCTCCAGCTGTCCCCCTCCTCCTGCTCCACCACCTCCTCCAGGAGGACCTCCTCCGCCACCAGGAGCACCACCTTTCTTCAGCATGGGGATGCCACCTCCTTCAACAACCACCTTCAGCAGCAGTGGCACCAGCCTAAAGAAGAAATCTATCCCACAGCCTTCGCACCCGCTGAAATCCTTCAACTGGGCTAAGCTGAGCGAGGTAAGAAATCACAGTAGTCACAGCAATTAGTTTACTTTCTAATTACAACTCGGTGTTGATTAATGCCATGAAGTGCAAGGTGATGGAAGCGAGTACCTAAGAGGAGGGTGTAGGGAGGTGGGTGCTGGACTCTGCTCTACAGTAACAAGTGATGGGACAAGAGGAAACGGCCTCAAGTTGCACCAGGGGAGGTTTAGGCTGGCGATTAGAAAAAATTTCTTCCCTGAAAGAGTGATGAGGCATTGGAACAGGCTGCCCAGGGAAGTGGTGGAGTCACCATCCCTGGAGGGGGTCAAGAAACGTGTAGATGTGGTGCTGGGGGACATGGGTTAGTGGGTTGGGTGGGGTTGGGTTGATGGTTGGACTTGATGATCCTTGAGGTCTCTTCCAACCTTCATGATTCGGTGATTCTATATTGTGGCTTTCCCTGGGCTGAGATCTGTAGGAGTCAGTAACTGTCTCGAGAGAATTCTCCAGGAGTGCAGCATGTCTCCTGTGGTGACCACGGATTCGATTGAGCTGCAGCAGATCTGGGCGTGCTATCGGTTAGGCAAAGCTATAGCGGGACTGAAGACACAAACCAGAGCCAGACATCTCCAGGACTGGTGTGCTAGAGCTGCCCTCACTCGCATGTCAGGGAGAAGGATGGCCAAAGCCAATGTGGGCAAAGCATGGTGACAACCTGCTCCCAAACCAGCCTTCTCTACCCTGGCAGGAGCCATCACCAAGGAGAGAAGGGTGGCTTGATTCTCCTCACTGTTGGTTCACAGCCAGGAGGGAAGCTGCCCTTCCTGCACAGTTACAACTCTGTCTCTGGGTGATAAAACTCCAAATTGGCAATAAAAGCAGAGGACTTGGATTGTTCCTGTTGCACTCATGTTCTGCTGCCTAGGTTGCCTCTCCTTCCACTCCACTTCTCTCTCTTCTTTCTCTCTTTTTTTTTTCCCCTCCCCTTCTCTTCAGGTTTTGGGATTTTTTTAACTATTTTAGAAAGAAAAAAAGTGTCTGTGTTGAGTTTGGATGGCTGCCTAGAAACCCAGGTTCTCTTTTAGACTGAAACTCACCCAGGGCCCAACTCCGGCATTTGGAATGAGTGTCCAGGGACCTCTGGAATGCCACAAGAATTCTCTCTCCCCCTCTCTCCTTTTCTTTAAAATAAAGTGAAGTGAAATATTTGCTGCACCGTCTGCGCTTGTCTGTCAAGGCCACGTGGGGGGTGTGGGAGAGAACGTAAGGACGGGGATTTATTTTCCTTTGCAGAACATGGAACTTAGTGCTCTGAAGAAAAGAAATAATGACTAATAGATGTGTATATATATGAGTGTATATGAAAAAGAGAGTCACAGGTGTTTCTGTTTAGTGTACAGTAACTGTAGGCTTATCCTGCCCTCTGGTTAGGAGTGAAGGCAGCTGTGCTAATAAATTTGAAGACCTGGGTGGTGAGGTGGGTAAAAGATGCTATTTTGAGAAAGGCAGAATAGTTGAAAAAAGGAGCATAAGCAGGTGGGGGGTTCATTTTGGGGTGTTGTTAGTGTCAGTGTTTTGACCTAGTGAGGTCTCTGCAAAACTGCAGAGGTGGGGGTGCAGACACAGGTGGCTTGCCTGGTTATTTGGGGTGCACTTCGTTATGGAATTATTTAATTCCACTGACTGCTGGAGTAGGCGATACGTTTTGGCCATCTTCATCAGTTCTCCTAGATTCCCTGCTTCGTGACAAGCACTTTCTTGCTATTCACATGGATAGGAATCCTCTCAATGCAAAGTCATAGGTAGGTCAGATGCCCCAGGGGAGGTTTAGGCTGGAGATTAGAAAAAATTTCTTCACTGCAAGAGTGATGAGGCATTGGAACAGGCTGCCCAGGGCAGTGGTGGAGTCACCATCCCTGGAGGGGGTCAAGAAACGTGTCGATGTGGTGCTTGGGGACATGGGTTAGTGGGTTGGGTGGGGTTGGGTTGACAGTTGGACTTGATGGTCCTTGAGGTCTTTTCCAACCTTCATGATTCTGTGATTCTATGATGGCCTCATCTTCCCTTTTGTTCTCCTGAACTGTCAAAGTAGCCACTTGAGGATGAATGAAGACTCACAACAAACACCCTGGCTGGGAGCGTTGAATCTTGAGGTTTTGAGCATGGGAAACTGAGGCTTGGCAGCGTACGTAGTAGTATTGTGGTTCATGTGGTTCCAGTTCACATGAATACAAGTTTTCCCCACAAAAACATTTTGAGGAACAATCCATCTGACATCATGTATATGTTGTTTTTTGTTTTTTTTTTTGTTTGTTTGTTTTTTTGTTTTTTTTAAAAAAAAGGTCTAGTTAGCAAAGAGGTGTGTCTGCAGCATGCATCACAGCCAGGTGTGGTGACACAGTGTTGGAAACACAGCTGTGCACAAACTTAGGGCTACAGCCAGGTCAAATATATTTTTCAGCTCTTACGTATCTCTGCATACTGGTTAGACCATCCTTCTCGAAGCGGTCAGTACAGAGTCTCTTTCCTAAGCTTTCTTAAGCAAGGGTGAAGATGCTGCCAGGAGCGAGGCAGCCTGCATGAGATTGAGCCACTTTCTGTCCGTGCAGCCTCAAGGGAGGGAGAGAAAGCCAACAGAGCCCAAAAGGAGGGTGGACAAGGCTGTCCGAGAGGGATTTGTCTGCAATATTCTTTCTCAGTAGCAGAATCAAGGCTGTTCTCCAGGGCAATTCATGCACCACCTTTTTTTCCCCAGTGCTGATATTTTCTTTGGAAGGAGAGGACCAAGGAGCTGTTGGGTGTTAGGAGAATGATGAAATATATTCAGACTCTTAGCCCTTGACAATAACAGATTGTCCACAGTTCCCTTGGGCACCAGAAAAAAAGGTTGGACTGGAAAGTATTCTGCTTCTACCAAGGAAACTGCAACAACCCACTAATTTCCTTTGAGAATTAAAGATTTTTGTGCTAGCTTTGATGTGAGATGACCATCAGTGGCAAAAGCCATGTAGGCTCCTGGATGGGCTGAGTTCTGGTGAAGCTCTTCCACACCACAGCTCCATTCATGCAGCGCTGTAACATCGTTTGTGAATTCCATTCATACAGCACCACAGTAGTGCTGGTGCCAAGGGTCGCTGGTTTTTAAGAAAAAGATATTGCAATATAACCACTGTAATGTCTTGGAAAGATTCCTTTCTTTGTTTCTGGACAGCGAGTGGAGTTTGCTCTCCCACTCTGAATTTTACACAACACCCGAGGTCAAACAGGGACCAGACATTTATGGTTAATCCAAACGATTGACTGGTTTCAAAGACACTGGAAGTATGGATTAATATAATTACCTCTTTAAGAAATAGAAACATTGATTTGAAGTTTTCAGAGTAAATCAAGTCAACCTTCGACTGCACTGCTTGTTATCTGATGGCTGGAGAAGCAGCTTCTAAAGAAAGGGGCTTTCTGTAGCCAGCCCTAAATAGGTGAAATAATCTCAAAAGAAAAATTTGTTCTACATACTACACAGGATTAAAAAAAAAAAAAAAAACAAACCCAAAACACCCCCAAAACAAACAAAAAAAACCCCAACCACATAAACAGAAAATATTCATTTTGACACTATTTAAATAAAAAGATGTTTCTGTAATGTTATTGATGATTCTGATTTCTGGAACTTTCTAAAAAGCAGCCCGAGGATCATGGCAAACAGTGATGCAGGACTGCTGCCAGAGATTAAAAATTAATTGAAAAATTTCTACAAAATCTCAGTGTGAAGGTACGCATAATAGCGTTGGTGGTGCCTAGCCGTACAGCTGTCTCAGTTAACAAACCTGATAGAAATACAGTTTTTGCTCAAAGTGGATTTTTTTCTTACTCTGAGGAAATGATCTGATATCAAGAGAGAAATCTGAAAACCACACTCCGTTCCTTTTTCAGATTCATAGTGGAATTACGAATTAAATTTTTCAGTCGCTTCACTTTTTGATGGTTTTGGTGGTTAATATTTTACAAATATCAATATACTAAACAAAAGGCTTTCCAAAAGTCCTGTAAGTTTCCACTCATGCTTGCGAGGTTGTTGAGGGAAGATGGACTTTGGTGGCTTGCAAAGTATCACTATTTATCTTTCAGAGTAAATAAAATAATCTGTTAGATGTAGCAGAGGGCAGCTTGATATGATCGGTAGCTCCATGAAACGCTGTTATTCTCTAATCCTGGTAGGTCTCAGCAAATTGGACTTCATCCCAAAGGTAGAAATGACATAACTGCAACAGCTACAGCGAGCAAATCGCTAAATGCAACGTACCAAAAGCTGGGCTTGATGGAGCAAATGCCTTGTCAGTACTTGTCCTGATAATAAGATGTGTCCTTAGCTAGTATGTGCTACCATTGTGCTCGATTACACTGGGAAATGTAGTTCATAGGATTTGCTTCTCCAAGGGGGACAACACTTTGCAAAGCAGGGGAACCACAGACCTCGAAAGACTTGTAGAATGAATAAATAAATAAATATGGGGAGAAAAGCATGTTACAGATTTAGTGATCTCTCTTTTTTTCTTTTTTTTTTTCTTTTTCCTTTTTTATCTCTCCTTAAAAAGAAGAAATAAAGAATTTGCTTTATTTTTAAATTGATATTTAGGGACCATAAATATTTTTATGGTGCTGAGGGAATCATTTATCATAGCAACCACATTATGCAAGCCTGTTTCTCTTAAAACACTCACTCTCTCTGGCTGATGACAAGGAACTATCAGCCAGTTAATCCATAACTGAGTAGCAAGAGCTCAGTGTAGGAAATTTTCTGGCAACAACATGAAAGTTTTCAAGAGCAGAGCTTAGGGTATAGAAAGAGAAGGGACAGCCCCATTGCAAGTGTTGTGCGTGATAAAGGTTGTTTATACCTCTGCCTGCCTTGTTTTTTCTTTCACTGGATTAGCCCATTTGGTTTCAAAGCACTAAATTTGGGTTGTTTGGGTGAAAGTTGCATTGCAATGGGTGCTGCTTTGGGATTTGTCTTTCTGCTCCAAGTAGCGTACAAACCATCCTGTACAGGACCAGGTTCAACCTGGGTCTTACAGTGAATCTGAATTGAAATAAGAATAATTTTCACTTAATTGGGTTGGTTTTTGGGGGGAAAGTATGAACAAGAACTACTCTCTGCAATCCCTTTGTGGGTCTCAGAACTGCCTGTTCTGGCACCTCTGCGATTCGTTTGGACTAGTCCATTCTGTAGCATGCTTTCACTATTCTTGACATTTATGGAGAAGTTTCAGTCCCATGAGAGTTTTGCAGGTAGACAGGTAGATGGACAAGACTCACGAGTAGCTGTCTCTTGAGTCACATCCATCCTTCTGCCAAACACAGCAGAGAGCTTTTGGCGTCCTCAGGGCTCTGTCCCAGTGATGACTCTAAGGACTGCTCCTCAAGTCATGTTCTCTGGCTCTTGTCAAGAAATATTCTTTCATTTCAGTGTTTGATGGGGCAATCTGAAACAGTGAGGAACTCAAGAGAACTGCTCTGCCGTTCAAATACATCCCTCAGGATTTATAATTCAAGGTTTATAAAGCCAGTGTGGAAACTGAATGAGAACGAAGGCTCTGCCTGGATGCTTCTGGCTAAGATTGGCAGTAGAGTCCAGGGTTAGGATAAGATTAAAATTAATTTTGTCTCCTATTCCTTTGGCTGAGATGAGCCTCCCAAACTCATTCATCACGTCACAGTCACAGGGTCATGATGTTTTTCCTACTGTGGAAAGAAGAGCCGCAGTGATGGCAAGGAATGATGCAACGATACTGGTGAGCCTGTCCAGGGACGGGTGCTGCTCCCATCTACTGTGTGCTCTCCCTGTAAATAGCTCTGCAGACACTGCTCCTTGCCCTCAGGCACCCACAGGCTGCCTCTGGAGGGGAGGGGGTTGGTTTTCCTCCACCGTGTCTGCCCTGCCAGGAATTTCCTCCAGAACACTTCACACTTTTATTTCCCCTTCATTTCATCCTCCCATCAGGTGTTTTTCCTTGAGCCTTGTGGCTTAGCACATTTCCCTTATTCCTTTGATGACTGTGAAGGGGAAGTAGAGCCTGTTCCTAATTAGTTCTGATAATGAAGTGTTAACGCGGTTTGCTGTGTAGGTACAAGTCAGGTACTTCAGCCCTGGTTTCATTGCTGTGGCTTGCTGTTCCTGGGGTTTGCTCAGGTCTCTTTACAATCCCTTCTGCCCGTTTCCTTTTTCTTTTAATCAACACCTTCCTTATTTTTCCAGTTAATAAAGTACAATAAATGTACAGTTCATTAAATGAACTGAAAGTGTTGGCAGGTGTGAGGAGCAAGTCTTCCTCTTCGGGGTGGGTGATTGCTCAAAGCTTGTCCCACACAACATGAACCTTAACAGTCAGTAGGATGGAGAAAATAGTTCAGTCTTTGTGTCCTCTGTGCCAGCAAGGACATCTGTCCTGAGAGTGTCAGCAGGAGACTCCGAGGCCTTCTCCTAGTTGAAGATGACTGCTGATTAGCTAATTCATGTGCCACAAGAGCTCATTTGGCCCAGAGTTGCTGGATGGCAAAGTCAGAGGAGGAGTCTGTGCCTGTCTCCCTCCATGCTAATCATCTGCCCAACAGCCAGGATTCCCTGGTGCTCAGGATGATGTATCACGGGGTTGTGGACATTTCCAGTTACTGTGGATGATGCTCTTTCAGAAATCTGGGTATAGTTTGTGTCTGTCAACTCGTGTAGACAGGGGAGACAGAATCATCGAATCATGAAGGTTGGAAAAGACCTCAAGGATCATCAAGTCCAACCGTCAACCCAACCCCACCCAACCCACTAACCCATGTCCCCAAGCACCACATCTACACATTTCTTGAACCCCTCCAGGGATGGTGACTCCACCACTGCCCTGGGCAAAATCATGTAATAGGAAACAATTAGATTGCAAAGACTTGGAGCCTTTACTTTTAGTAGAATAAAATAAAATCTTAAACTACTTTCACAGGCAGTCAGAATGAAAACCACACACCCTTTGGGGTTTACAACAGAACCTGGCAAAATTTGCAGAAGGGAAGATGTGTCTGGGGTTCGTCATGCATCAGTGCCCTTCCTAAGCTTTTTCCTCGTGATAGTAACACTTCTTTCAGCGTGACCACGATCGTTGTATTAGACAGATGGCCACTCTTGAAAGGAAACATACTGTGGGATCATGGATATTCCTTGAGATGTGGTTTGCTAGTCTTGGAATGTACCCTTTCATCAGAGGCTTGCTGTGATGAAAATTATAAAATATTCTGTATATTAAAAAAAAAACCATCAACACACCACTACTTTTTTCTCCTTTGACTCTTGAAACAAAGCGTGCCCTCTAAAATGACAGGAGTAGTACCAGGAGTATGGCCAGTGAGCAGGACAGAATTATCTGTCCAAATAGGATTGGATGTTCTTAGCTAGAAGCTTTTGCTATCTCATTAAAACGTGACTTTTTCTTCCAGGAGAGGATCCACGGCACAATCTGGAATGAGATTGATGACTTAAAGGCGTTCAAGGTGCTGGATCTAGAAGATTTTGAAAAGATGTTCTCCGCCTATCAGAGACACCAGGTAGGGGTGAACTCTTCCGTACCTTGTCTCCCTTGAATTTCTGGAGGAGGAAAGAACACATGGCAGGGACCTGGGCCCTTGTGCCCCTGCAGTCAGGCTGCATCATTTGCTGCTCTGCCACTGTTAAAAAAAAATCACAGCACCAAAAGAAGTGGGGAGGACATATAGGGCAGAGTATGACTCTGTTATCGACATACTTCATGTTAATGGGCAGCTGTCAGAGACCACAGCTCCCAACAGGTAAGGCTCCAGTTGATCTCAGCAGCCACTGGCTTCCAAGTGTACATTCGTGTTTGATATCCATCTTTCGATTTCTCCTGTGCGTCCAGAGAAAAGGTCTGGAGTTTCCCGAGTACTGAGCAAGGTGACTGAACTAGCTGTCTTTCGCTTTGTCTATTTTTTCTTAAACAGCTAACTGACCCAGCTGGCTAGGTGACAGAAACTGTCTGATTTTAACACAAACAGCGTACTTTAAAAGCAGGCATTTTTTAGGATGCCTTTTTCCCCCTCTTTTTCTTGGAAAGCAAGTCACCTCCAATCTGTCTGTCTCCACTGAATGAGATTTAGCAGGAGAGGGATTGTACTTGCACTCCCTGAACTCCCACAGCTTTCCTTTGCTTTTAGAATATGTTTGGAGAAATTCAGTCTTTTGTACGTTGCAGAACTGGATCATTGCTCTGAAGCTCTAGGAAAACACAGAGATGTGATTGCCATAAGCAGTCTTTATGACTAAGCCTTACAGTGATGAGGACTGCTTCATTATCATTATGATTAACTTATTCAGTACCTTAAAATTAACAAACAAATCCTTTATCTTCGGACTTTCCATCTGTTACCTTCTCTCTCCCATTTTGCTGTCTAATCTAATAAACGTAATGAATAACTCCTCTGATTTACTAGCTCACAGCCACCTAGATAAGTATCCCAACTTGACTGTGCAGAATGGGATGTTACCCATGATGAGATTCCATTTCTCCTCCTGCTCCTGCAAATAGCTGATGCTGTTTCCGTGGGTCCATCTCTTTGTGAATCCTATTTCCTGAAACAAGAGCTCAGTTCACAGAGGGGAAGAACAGCCCATGAACCTTCAGTGCTGTGACCAGGTTGCATGTAGACCCTGTCCCAACAGCTGAGCTGTGGTGATGAGCAGCCAGACTCTCATCTGTGCACACAAGCAGCCGTTGCAGCATCAAGGTGCCGTCCCAACGTTTCGGATGCAGACATCGCAGCATCCTCACTAGAAATGACCCTGCAAAGCCTTGCTTCCTTTGGGCCCCAAAATCCAAAGCAAAAGCTCTCCTGGTCTGCTGGCGTTCAGTTCAAATCCTAATATTTATGTCTGTATTACCCATCACTGAAAAGCAGCCTGGCCTGTTCAGCCATAAACGAACCTGACCCCTACCCCTGCTGGAATGGAGCCATCATCTCAGAGAGTGACCTCCACGGGTCTCACACCAGTTTTCTTCCATCCTCATTAAATGCACTTTATGACAGTGGCTCCAGACACTAGAGTATCGCTTATGTAAGCTACTTGTATTTTTGTGTAGTTAGGTGTATAGCTGCCCTTACAGCTTTCCTTGACGGTTTTGGATTGGCTGTTTTTTTTTTTTTTTCCCTGAAATATTCCATTGTTATTACTTTACATGATACTTTCTTCTTCATCCATACTCACTCCAGTGTGAACTGGATTCCAATCAACAAGTCCTCATCAATTTTCTTTTTTTTTTTTTTTTTTTTTAAAGATCAGGCAACCAAAATTGCTTTTTGAATCAAAAGCTTATGAGGACTTTTCCAGTTGATTCACACTTAGTCTTTTCTCCTCTTTTATTTTTGGAAATACTCCACTCTGGCCAAGTACGTGTTTACCCTGGGTTTGTGACTTTTAAACTTCATCCAAATGTCTTTAAAGAAAAATGTCAATGCAGAACCCTGCTCTTTTGCATCTGAAATGGTGAACGAGTACAGATAAAGACATTTTCTTTGCTGTTATTAACATGATCTTCATAATTTTTTCCAGTTTCATTTACATTAAACAGCTTTTCTTCATTTTTTTTTTTAATTACAAAGGGTCTCTTCTCCTCTCCCAAGCCCAGTGTATTGTTTTGGTGGCTAGGAGGGAAAGCAGAATTGTCCAGTGTCCAGAATGCTGGACCAAAAATTCCTGCACTTGTCTTTTGACCTTGCTCCAATCTTACTGTGTAATACTGACCTTTTGATTCAGTATATCTGGTGTTCTCCTGGAGGATGGAATATGTTGTGAAGTAGTTGGTGTCTGGCACCCAGGACTCCAATGAGGGTTCTCTTTACAGAGTGCTTTCAGAATACTTGGCTGTGCGTTGTTAAAGGGTATAACGTGCCATTGAAAATGGCAAATTGTGCCTGTGCATCAGGAGAGGAGAACTGACCCTCAAGTTCTAACCGTGGCAGTTCTTTTTGTAAGGCTCTGGAGTAGATTTGTAAAGGTATTTAAGCATTACCCAAGTTAATGTTTCAAGACTGAAGAGATTTCTGCTCAGGAGACTGAATTTATTCTTTTCAGAACAGACCTAGAACTCTTAGTTCCCCAACAGCTGCTGATGTAAAACATGCATAGGAATGATGAAATACCTTTGGACCATCTGGGCCAGTATTACTTGTGAAGCATTTTATTCTCTTAGGAGACAGTGTGTGTCTAAATTCAGCTGCCTTGTTCAACTTGATCTCTTTCTCTGTGACTAATTTTTTTGCATGTTTCCTTCTTCGTTATTTGCGGCTCCTGCCTGCATAGGACCTGCTAACTAACCCCTCCTCCTGTAAGCAGGTGAGTATCGCTGTCTGCCTCCTGATCCTCTTGCGGTGCATGGGAAGTCCTGCACTGTGCCGTTATGGGGTGACGACTCATCTCGTGCTGCTCGTTCACCTGCCCTTGCACCTCTGCTTTCTGGGTGGGGAAGGTGGTGCAGAAAATTCCTTTAATTGTATTAGCTGTGTGATAGGAAGCAGTTCCTGTTCTTTTACTTAGCTATAATGTCACCGTGGTTTCTGCTGGTGTCTGTAGTCGCCTTTTTGATGATCCTGAGGAAAAAGACCAGGGACAAAGTAGAACGTGAACCCTTCCTTAACCAAAATAACAGTCTCTCTAGTGGAGAACAAAAGGGGGTCTCAAGGAGCCTTCGCTCCCACTGTTTCCATCTGCTTTGGACAGTACTGAAGTCTCCAGATGTATTCACTAGCCACAGACTTTCTGATAAAGAAAAGATTTCTTTCTGTAGAACTGGAAGGCACTTTGGTTGGGCAGAAGGATTTGTGGCAGCTGAAGAGCACAAGGGTTAGACTGGAGGAAAGCCTACTTCATTTCAGACTACTGAAACCCTCAGAGAGTTTAGCGAAAGACTGAAATTATGTTTACATGAAGTAGAGGTAGCAGCCTGCCCGCAGGTCTTCAGACTGGCTACCTCTCAATTTATCCACCACCTTAAGCAAAATTCTTGGCAACACTTTTGGGAAGAGCAATGCTCTCAGAAGAGGGTTGTTCAGATGGCATCACAAGTGTCTCTGGTGGCTTCAGAAGAAAGTAGTCCTCACCATGAGTGCTCAGGGAAGTGTATTTGGAAAGTCTGGTCAGGACCTCTGCCCCTGGGTGAGGCCAGTACATGGGTCTGGGCCATTTACTGGCTTCCATCATGGCAGCGCACACTGTGAAACAAGTCAGTACGGTAGAAGTAGTTCACTAAAATATTGATAATAACTGGAACTAGGGTGCTGCCGAGGAACCACACCACAAGCTCTGCAGCTAGCCAAAATCAAACTGTATTTGAAACAGAACAGCAAGAGGATGAACACGTTCCATGTGTTTAGTCATCCCAGCACTGAAACTTTATTAGATTTTTTTAATTTGCAATTAAAATTTTAAATCGGAAGTACTTTTTGGAGCACATAACATAATTTATCCCAGATGGAAAGTTTGTAAAGAATGATGGGACAAAACTTAGGGATCTTGGCTTACAGGTTGACAGCATCTCCAGCTATTCCTGCTTTGTGTGCTTGGCCAGTCCCACAAAAGCTGGCCACGACTGCCCCCTTGCTCCTCTTTTTCCGTGTCTACAAAAATACAGATGGTCCATATGCAATCTGTTTTCCTTCAGCTAAGCTTGCAATCTGGCTTCGGTAAAACCTGAGGCTTCATCTGCTTTTGCTTACACACAGCTCCAAGTATCTTTAAATATCAATATTTTTAGATGAGACCAGCCCACTCCTTATGACCAAGGAGTGAGCCACATCTGAACCGTTCAAGTTATTAATCTGTGTTGAACCTTGTGGGACGGGGAATTGGAAATGGCATGGAGACTGTTATACCAATCCCTGCTGAATGGCTTTTGGAGAAGCTGTCTAAACCCCCACCTCACGTACACAGCCAAACCCTGAAACAATTTGGTTTTTTCCTTGGGATGGGTGCTGGTTAACGCTAACCAGGTGTGCTTGTCTGCACACATGAGCTAGTGTGGGGCAGTGAAGCTTTTAAACCAAGAGCACAGACCAACAAATACTTTTCTTACCATCAACAGCTGCATATCTACCTATTCCCCTGCCTTCCTCCCTGCAAACTGAGGAAACTAAGGAAAACTTTGACATCTCTACATACCAGGTTATACTGGGGGTGCCCTGCTTTTTGCTCTTGTTAGTTACTCTCTCAGAAATCATAAACTTGCCCAATGCCCATTTTTCATTTTTTTGGAAAAACACTATTTGATGGATCGATTAACGTTGCAATTTTTTTCTGCCAAGCTAGATGCTTTGGGCACATCCAGCAGAACTAGGGTGTGCATGTCTTCAGCTGGTGCATTGTACCTTCTTAAAAATGCCACTTCGTAGTGGTGGTGGCTCACTGAAGCACATTTGGATGTGGTTGTAGGAATCCTTTGTGTATTCAGGAGCAACACAGGCTCATTGTAGCTCATTTTACCAAGAACTCAAATGGCAACTAGCAATATGAATCTATGATTGACATTTAACTCTCAAGTCTTTGGGTGCCAAAATCCCTTGGAGTGGATGAGTCATGCTGATACATGTAAGCCCTGACTTGAAGAACCTTGAGTCCTGGAAGTGAACTCTGGGAAGCACCAGGATGCTGTTGTGTCCTAAGAAAGAAGTCACGTCGCTAATTTGATGGGTGCATTGAAAGCTAGATTGTACTGGTAAATCTCAAAATGTCAAGGTATGACAATATTGGTATCACAGAAGGGCATTTTTTAAGAGGTTCTGGCAGCAGTTAGCTGGGAAAATAAAAACTGTCCTGTTTCCAATTCCCTCTATTGGTAACTACAGTGCTCTTATCCAGGATTAGCACCTTCTATCGTTACCTCTCCTTCCCTTTAAGGAAGGGTGTTAAAAGATACTCAAAGGAACGACAATCTCTGGAAGTGAAACAAATCCCATGACTCTGCTGTGTAGGCAGGACAAGGAGACTTTTGCATGCTCAGACTGGGTTTGCAAATAGTTTGTGTGCTGTGACAAACATTTTGGATGCGGATTTTCCATTTTTTTTCTGGGTGATGAGTTTGGCAATGGGGACACACAAAGAAGGTTTAAAAAAGGGTAGTTTCTGCATGATTAAAGGTGTTAATTAATTTAAAAAAGAGAGGCTAGTTCAGATGTCTCTGTTGACTTCTTAGTTAAGATATATTTAGTAAGATAAATGCCATCTTGCCCCACTGTTTGCACCTCATATAATATGGGTTGGACTGTTCCAGTGGCAGCCGTAAGAGATGATGGAAGGATTTTTCTCGATTGTGCTGCAGCCTTTCAGGAATGCTGTGTAACCCCTGCAAGAGGCATCTGGTGAAGGATATGGTGTGACACCAGTGGGCTTTACCATAATGTGCTCGATTTTGCTGCCATGCCAGTTTTGCACAATGTTGGTAGAGTGGGCCCAATAGGTTAGAATCAGGTCCAGTGTTTGGAATTAAAGATGATCTCATAGGTGTTATTGAATTATTTCTGTTTGTCTAGTAATCCAGGATCTGCCTACATGTTTTCTGCCCTCCTTGTCTCCTTTTCTCATCACGTGGGTGGATTTTCCCAGGTTGGGATGGGTTTTGTTCATGACATGCAGCTAAGTCTATCAGTCTTGGGTGAGAAACATAATACTGATTGTTTTCCCTCCCTTTTGAATTATGTGCAGAAAGAGATGGGTTCAACAGAAGACCTTTACCTCTCCACACGAAAGGTGAAAGAGCTCTCTGTGATTGATGGCAGGAGAGCCCAGAATTGTGTCATTCTCCTTTCCAAGTAAGTGTGCTAAGCCTTAGCTCCCAAGGTATGCCATGGGCAATGTAGAGGCAAGAGGGGATGGAATTAAAGAAATGAACACATTTCTTTTCCCGAGACCTGCTGTATAACACCCACAGAGCTTCAGAGAAACCTCTCTTGCAGCGTCATATAAAAGCACGTCTCTCTCTCTCTCATTGAATAAACATAGGCACACGCACATTTTGTGTGTCTGAGGATTCATCACCACCAAACTCTCAGTACTCGTAGGCACATGAAAGCCTCTTTGGCAGCACTTACCCTTCACTCTGAGTGATGTGTCCCCCACGCTCTGGGTATGGCATTTGTCTCTGTTCTATGTGTTTCTTTCTAAATGTTGCTCTGAGCATCTCCCTGGAATACAGCAGAGCTGAGAGAGATGCTCATCTTTGTAATTTTTTGATTCTTGGTAAATGTAAGAGGATACATTCAAGAATGAGGTCTTCTATTTGTAAATTAGGCTTTGGTAGCCAGGAATTGCTTTTGCATGCTCCCGCAATGACTAATGCCTTCAAATGCTGGGACTTCAGGGCTCTCTATATGCTTTTCATATCTTTCTACCAACATGAGTACTGGGCTGGATGTCTGACACTAAATATCAAATTTCTGCAGACACTAATCCACGTGAGAAAGTTGCCTTTCCTACCAGAGGAGGGACAGCAGGGCTGGAGACAAAGCCTGGGAAAGCTGTGGCAGCAATAACATGGTTTCACCGATCAGTAGAAAAGGCAGGTTCACGGTGACGGGATGGCTCGGCTGCTCTAGCCAGCTAACAGTTCAAAGCAAAGTTGCAGCCAGACCACCAGGACGGGAGTGAGTTCTTTCCATTGCTCAGTGCAGCCCACGGAGGCTCTCATTATGCTCCTGATGTGGCGTTAGCGTGTCGGCAGGACCCCCACCCTCCCGAGCAGCAGCGGGGGAAGGCTTACGTTTCTCTCCGCCAGCGTGTGTCTTTGCTGGTGTTGGCAGCTGGCTGCAGGCTAGGGCAGAGGCACGGGGAGGCACGGGGGCAAAAGGATTTTCATGCTGTTTGACAGACCTGCTGAAGTGTGTCTGGGGTTCAGATTAACTCATGTAAGCACATGCAACATTTCCTAGAAATCCTAACATGGTGTGTGCAGGTGGCTGGGCTGAGGAGGATGCAGGAAGGTGGTCCGTGACTTGGTATGACACTGGGTATTTGTTTGCAAAAACACCAGTCACCAGGGCTATCACTGGCTTAGATCATTTAACGTTTGCAACAGATAGCATTACACCCAGGATGTCAGAAATATCTTACAGCTCGGCCTAGGATTGCTATTCCTCCACAAACTTCCCTTTTAAATGCAACTAGAAAAGCAAAAATCTCTGGGAAGTCAAATGGCACCTCGACATCCCTGCCTTTTTCTGCTCTTCGGGCTTTAGATGGTTCTGTTATTAATGACAGCAAATGGAAGGATTGGCTGCAGACAATAACCGAGAGGGTTTTATGACCCCTTTGCAGGTGTTTTTTTCTTTGCCCCACTTCTTCCTCCTTGAAACTCTGAAGGAGTCTGAATGTGCCGTGCCCTCGCTGCTCCTGCAGCACACCGGGTGCACACACACGTGCCATGCTGGGGATTTAAAACTGGTGACAAACAGAGTTTGTGCAACCCTGAGCTGCAGCCCCAGCTTTCAGGTTGCCACAGTATCTGCCAACAGCTGTTTCCAATTGACTCTGACTGTGCGTATATCCCTGTAGTTTATTCCCCCTTTGTTTACACTAAACCGTCGTGTCCTTTAAAGTAAAATAGCTGCATGGGTTGGGTTTTCTTTCCCTCCACTACTCAAATGTTTTTGTTTTACTAACACGGTGTTAGAAGGGGTCAGGCAGAGCTCGTATTTCATATGGTCCAACAAGCCAAAACCCAGCTAGAGTGAGAAGTCGATGTCTCTTGCTTTCTTTTGCAGAGAGACTGGAGCATGGTAGACTGAAAAGAGATGAAATTTGAATTGCTAGCTGATTTTTGCTGACAGTTAACAGATTCCCAAGCCCTCCTCCCCATTCCCATCTCTATTTTCATTTAAAAAGCTCTATTTCAACTACTTGATAGCAGCATCTTTCCATTTTCAAGTGTAAGTGTAACTGTTAGCAATTAATCTGTAATCAGTAAATCTCAAGTGTAAGGATGTAACCATCCTTGTTTAACGGAGTCTGATAGATCCAGAACAAAGCTCTGTCCCATAGGCCAACTGGAAAGGTTTGAATAGGCACAAGATCAGTTTATCTCACAGCATTTCCCGTAGGCTGTAATCCAACCAGGACGTGGAACCGTTAGCCTGTGGTGAGTCCAGGCACGCACCAGCTCCAGACCTGCCCTTCGTAATGGTGCTTCCAGCGCCCAGTTATTTCTGTCACACTGGAAATCTGCTGTCCCTCATGAATTTCCTGATGTCTTCAGTTTCCACCAGGCTGGAGATTTACTGTCAGACTTGTGTGGGCTGGAAGTGCCATCCCAGATCCCTGTGTTTCCCAGCTTTCACCTAGCAGTTGGAAATTTCTCTGACCTCCCTCACCAGTGTGGCTTTACTAACGGGCAGCACTTTTGCTGCTCTAGTGGTTTTGTTGTACCATATCTTTAAATGTTCTTGCAGAACATGAAATGTTCCTTTCAGAACCATGTGTTACTGTCTTGCTCCCTGGAATGCTCCGGGGAGGTCCAGTTCTAGGAGATACGATGCTCAGAAAAAGGCTGAACGTATACTTAGGGAACTTTTTTTGGTGCAAGTTATTTTGAATAAATTCCAGCAAAATCATGATGTCAGTGTTCTTCTGAGATGTGTTTGTTATTCCTGTGGCCCGGCTAGTCAGCAGTAACCCTCTCAAGAGGCTGGAAACAGTAGGAGTGCTAGCAAAATGTCATAAAATCAGCAGTAGCAGAATCTGAGTACACAAAAGTAGTTTTAAATGTGAGCGTGACAGTAGATAGATACCAGCAGGCAGCTTTACCCAATGTTTGTGGCTTTCGTGCTTGTCCATTCAAATATCTATCAATAAGGGAAAAGAAAAGGAACTTGTGCAGCATCTCCAAACAGAATAGTAAGGAGACTGAGTATTTTTCTCATGTATCTGGGCTGCCTCAGTGTTTCTAAACCATTTCGGTTCAGGAGGACAAGCTGTTCAGCCAGTGTCAGTCTCTGTGCACTGCCTCTGCTGTGTCCCCAGTCCCCTGGGACAATACAGTGCTCACCCTTATTTCAAGGTAGATTCCAAGCAGTATGGTATCTTGGGGTCCAGATCATATCTTGATACCAAAACAGCTCGTTGGACTCAGCAGTTCTTGAAAAATACGAGGCAAGAAACAGTGACTCCTGGGTTCAGATATTTTCTGGTTTGAAGTTAAGGTCCACAATAAATGGCTTTACCTGCTATACCGAGTATGACAGACCCCAGGGTTAAACTGAGCACATCAGTCAGTGCGATCCTGCTCTGCTTGGCTCCGAAAGACAGCCAGCCCCAGATCCTTCCTGGTAGGAAATGGAGAGGATTTGGATGCCAAGTAGCTTGGTCCCCAACTGAAGGAGGAAAAGAAAAGTCTGGTTTTTTATGCACTTAGCATAGTGAAGTGCTGAAAAGGCACTGGTGTATTTTTTTTTTTCCCAAAATGTTGATACAATGGTGGTACCTGGTAAATGTCCCAGCTGCTGTCCCCAAAAGGTTAAGGCACTGTCGTCTTCACTGATGAGATGAGTTGGCAGCTAAGATAAGAGGATGTGAAAATAGTGGCTGCATCTTTCCATCTTCTGGGTGCACATGCAGACAGACCAGCCTGACTCTGGACTGCTGAGAGCAGGGAGACGGCTCCTTGTCCTGCCTTTCTGGGGTAGTGACAATGACCATTCCCCAACCATGGATATTTAACAACCTGCACCTTCCCAGTTGTACAGAGCCTCAGGAGTTAGGAGAGGGCTAAGCGTGCTTCTTTCTCAAAAGCTCAGCAAGATCCAAGGAACAAGCCCATGAAGTAACTCACTTTTGCCTGCCGGGGGGGAGACGGTTAATGAGCAGCAAGTATTCTGCTTTGATCCACAGGAGGGAGGGAGGAATGAAGGGGGGAGGTTGCAGTGAGTTAAATCAATGGGTATATTTAAGGAGGAAAAATGAGCAAGCACTGGATGCCTGTAAGGGAAGCTGATGTAAAACTGCAACATGTCTCCCAGGCATGTTCAGAGTCAGGCTGCTTGGCTTTCTCTCCAAGAGGACGAAACAATAAACCACTTGATGTCTGCGAGTGAAGCTGATGTTAAATCAGCCGAGGTGTCCTGGGGAGATTAGTGATGGATGACTCTGCAGAGTCAATAGAGATTATTTATGAAGCCAGAGGGGATAGAGGGAGGCAGGCTAAGTACCATATCAGAAGTTATTTGGTACTTGTTGAGCTTTAACATTGCTTGAAGATGACTCAAGCAGTTGGACTTCCATATGCTGCCACCAGATGTATGGGCGAGGGAAGAAGGAGGGAGTATTCTCCGTAAAGATCCTTTTCCTTCCTCGTCTGAGCAGTGTCAGGCTGCTGTTGCACAAAACCAGTCGCTGTCGGCACCGTGAATGAATGCAGTGCAGCTGAGGCAATGGGCACTGGGTTTTCTCATGTTTACTTCCCAAGTTCCGATGCCAGGGTCCGTGATTTGGTGAAGTGTAAGGCAGAGAGAATCCAGCTCGAATCGTGTGCTGTTCGGAATTGAGTTGTCTCCAGCAGCTGAGGGAAGAGTGCCTGGATCTGCAAAGCTTGTAAGAAAGTCATTGCAGCCCTTCCAATAGATACTGGAATGGAATTTCTGTAGTGTAAATTTTGGGGCCATAATTCCACTTTAATCTTGCTGCCTGTCCCGTAGGAGTTTGAGGCTCTGAGGGATGCCTCTATTCCGTTCTAAATGGAAAGATTTTACACATCTGCTTTAGGTTCCTCTTTAATCAGTTCACCTGTTTCTGTTTAAAAGCTGCACATCTGTTTCACATTACCGCTGGCCATCGTTCCCATCTACTGCATGGCTGGGCATGAGTTGGAAAACACAAGAAGAATCCCTTGATTAGCAGTTCTCTGGCCAGTTTGTAACTGGGAAGATCCCCGGTTTGTGCTGATGATGCTTACAGCTCTCGAAATGCGAAGGAGCCCGCTTTGGAAGATTGTTTCCCTGTAAATCCTTCTGTGTTTGTAATTGGGTTGGTACTAATCGAGGGTGCACACCTGCAGGCGCTGTGACCCTGTCGGTGACTGAGTTAAACTGCATCTTGGCGGGGGGCTGGCGAGCTTGCTGCTGCTCTCCTCTGTGGGCTAACCCATTCGAGCCAGATGTTTTTCTGCTGATGGCAAGGCACAGAGTCATCCAAGAAATCCAAGTGTTTGCATAACTGTCTTTCCTTGGGGCTCTCAATTATTTTTGAACAGAAGATGTTTTCAAGTGTATTTAGTGCTGATGAATGGCAGCAGAGGAGCGTGGAGCCTGAAGTCCTGGGGCTCCCGGACAGACCAGCAAGATCCGCGACGCTATGTGCTGCACCTTCTGTTGTGTTGGCATGGTGATGAGCTAGGAGCAGAGGGAGAGCAATTAGTTCAGGAGTGTAATATTTAAAAGGTTTTGGATGTCTGCTGAATCATATTTTAGTTTCCAGCTGTTGGGTATATTGGGCAATATTAAAATGTTTTAAGTTTCTTAGATTTAGTAATATTTCCTGTCTGTAAAAATAAAGCTCTTGCTTTTGCTTTTACCCAGTTCCAAAAATATGATTTTATCCAAATGGCGATAGCAATGTGAAATTTCAACAAGGAGTTTCTTAGCACTGAAGACAAAAACATTCTGCCTCACGCATCAGCTTCTCATTTCTATTTGCATTTTCTCTTTCTGCTGTTAATTAATTATATTGATTGTATGAGGTCCATGGGGACTGCAGACTTCACTCCTTAAATATTTCTTTTCACACTTTCCTGTTTCAGTCCCCAAATTGAGATTTTTCTTGTGGGTAGCCTTTCCTTCATGGTTCATTTGGTCCCCCGCTGCTCTCCTGGAAGGACTGATGGGGTGTCACGGGTTGGGGATGGTGGGCTAGAATTTGTCACATGCATAGTTGTTCGTTGACATCTGTGCTGAGAACCACCAAGTTCATTTCATGTAATCTATCAAACAGCCTCTCAATAATCACCAATTTTGACTGCTTCTGGTCTGTGCTGGAATTCAAGTGGAGACCTTGAGGAGTTTTTTATTTGATTCTGTGATTTGTTAGAACCGATGACCCCTCCTCATTGCACACAGCCGGACAGGAGTAGGTGGGAAGGAGAGTGTAATTTTAATACCTCGGTTTATATTCATAAGCTCTTGTTTTCAGAGCTTGTTTCATATTGGATATGAAACATGGATACGTAGATGCTGTCAATTCCTTTTTCAGCTGTGAGCACCAACAGAATGAACTTGCCTAGCACAGCCACCCTTCTTACAAGAGACCCTTTTCTGTAAGGGAAAGATCAGTCCTGTCACTTGTTACTCTGGGAGATCCTTTAACATGCACAAGCAGAAGTGCCATGTGGCCTCACGATCACAAGTCCCATGGATCTGAGGGGTTTTACTCTAGCAAAAGAACTTGATGAGGGAGGTATCTGATATGGGGGAAGCTGGAAGCACTTCTGATCTGTGAGGTCGTGATTGTTGTTAATCACCATCTGATTTTTTTATGTGTGATTGATTAGTTGGAGAGGATAAAAATAGATTACTTAGGAAATCTCTGCCTTTGGAACTGGTTCATTCATCTTCCTGAATAGTAGCTTCATAGCAGAGCTTCCCATGGTTGTTTTGTGCCTTTTTAGTGCAGCTTTTCACTCTTCCTAATTTCGCAATTGTCAGAGTCACTGATGCTTTGCACTAATGGTACAACGTTGATACTGTTGAAAGGTTGAAGCTGTCAAATGAAGAAATCAGACAAGCAATCCTGAAGATGGATGAACAAGAAGACCTAGCGAAAGATATGCTCGAGCAGGTGAGAAAGATTACAGTCCTTCACTAACCTTTTTTTTCCACCTAAAGTAAGTGGATCTGTGTCCTGGCTCTGCTGGGATGTCCACACATCTGAACTTGGCCCAGTCACGTCAGCAAAGCTGCACATAGGAGCATGAGAAAAGTCTTTTTCCCACTGTTGTCAGATATTCCTCCCTTGTTTATATCCAGTTGATTCTGTAACAGTTTTCTTGATGCAAAATATGCATGATTGCCATTGGCATGAGGTTTCCTTTCATGTCCTCTCCTCTCACCTGTGACTTTCCCATCATTTTTCCCGTCTCTTCTTTATACTGCTAAATATTTGTTGTTGTTTTCTTTTTTCTTAATCTGCCTTCTTTGCCTGCAGCTTTTCCATTGGGAAATGCCAGGAACCAGGCCGTGTAGGTCGATGGTTAGAGCCGGGACTAGAAAAGGATCTTGCTCTCTAACTAGAATGGTTAGAAGGGGAGTCAGGGACTTCTGGCCCCTGCAGTTGGTTCAGTAGACAAGCAGTGTGTAGCTTGTGGGGGGGGAAAAAAAACAAAACAAAACAAAAACAAAAACAAAACAAAAAAATCACAAACAAAAAAACCACAAAAAAACCAAAAGCCCCACAATTAAACCACCATTCCCCACTTTCCCCCATTTACACCAATTTCCCCCATTTACAGAAAGTGAAAGATGATGCTTTGACCAAAGATGCATATGATAAACTTCCTTAGGAGTGCGCAAAACGTTCTAACTCTGAACTGCCTGACAAATGTGATTCCTTCCTTGTGTCCAGTCGCGGTATTTAATCATGTACAATTTTGGAAATTTATAGCCTACTTGTCTGAATGCTCACAGCTGCTGTAGGAGTCACTGCAAGCTTCTGATGCTCCACACCTTTGAATATCTCATTTTTGGGGAGCGGGATAAAATATTAGAAAGCATTGAAGAGGAAAGTGATGGATGTGCCGTGTGAGCGGTTTTTGTGGGTGTGCGCGGAGGCTGTGTGCATGGCAATATTTATAACCGTACCACGGCGCAACTACCACCAGATATGTCAAAAATCTGTCAAACTATGAGGTTTTAAGGTCAGCGTATGAATAGCAGCCACTGTCAGACACATATCCAGTCGCTCGGTTATTGTTTATTGTTTCAGCAGAGTGGGGCAGACCCCGGAGAGAGATAGATGAGGCTTTGTGCGTGCTCTAGGATAGGCACCATGAGCACTTCACACCAAGTGGGACGCATCCTGCTCTTGTTTTGCACCAACCTCAGCTCCAAGCGATGCTGTGGGAATCAGAGTTCTCTCTGTACGTCCCCTTGGGTACGCTGCAGTAGCACTTGGTCTTTAGGATTTGGATATGGGAAATTCCCCACAGAATAAAAAATGAACCGACTGGGGTCAGTGAGGGATAAAGATGGAACAGAAAGCAAAGGTTTAAAAAAGGTCAGTTTTGTAGCCACAGCTGCACTTTTTCGGAGTTACGGTCACACGGCTGAGCCGATGGTGTGCTTCCCCATGGGATCTGAGGGTCCTCTCCATCAGGGCTTGTCTGTGCCTCCCTGTCCCTCTCTCCCTTTCCCTGGATCCCTCACCTCGGTGTTCGGTTTGTCTCTGCCTCTCTAGCTGCTGAAGTTCGTTCCCGAAAAGAGCGATACCGACCTGTTGGAGGAGCACAAGCACGAAATTGAGCGCATGGCCCGGGCGGATCGCTTCCTCTTCGAAATGAGCAGGTCTGTTTGCTACACGATGGGAAAGTGCTCCGAGGGCTGTTTGGAAGCAGCTGTAATTGTTATTGAAAATGGATCATCTGGCACTGAGGGGGAATGTGCAAGAGATTGCGGGCCAGCATTATACCCTGCGTTTGCCAGAAGCCCCCAAATGTTTCCGTTCATTACACAAATTTTTTATTGACGATAAGCACGCTCCGTGCTGTCATTTAAGGACCAGTCCCCTGATGACAAGCAGAAATCTGCCTCCTCTGCCTAAACTCATTCACACAAAAGGAATTCAGATCCAGCTATCACCGTGATGTAGCCAGGGGTCAGGATTTCATGTAGAGTCCTTTTTCCATTCAGCTCTCCCATCTCCTCATCCTCTGACCGTCTTGTTCCAGATTGGCTCCACCCTCAGTCAGGATTAACATCTTGTTCTGCTGGTGGAGATGTAGATGCATCCCCCTTGACTCTCACAGTGGGAATTCTAGAATCACAGAAGGGTTTGGGCTGGAAAGGACCTTGGAGATCATCCAGTCCCACCCCCTGCCATGGGCAGGGACACCTCCCACTAGCCCAGGTTGCTCAAAGCCTCATCCAAACACTTCCAGGGATGGGGCAAAGATTTATTCCAGCTCCTTTTCAGTGGTGATCAAAACCTGCCTTGAGGTCCTCCATTTTCATAACAAGGTTGATCATGTACTGTTGGATGTTTGAACTATGGCTGTCATCCCATGCATAGGCCTTGTGGGACCCAACATCCAGCCATTATGTAGGCAGCATACTGGGCTTCAGACTAGAGTTCCAGTTGAGTGTTGGCTTTCCTCTGCCTTTCCAGTTGAGTGTTGGCTTTCCTCTGCCTTTCCAGTTGAGTGTTGGCTTTCCTCTGCCTTTCCTGCAGGATTGACCACTATCAGCAGCGGCTGCAAGCGTTATTCTTTAAGAAGAAGTTTCCAGAGAGGCTGGCAGAAGCAAAGCCAAAAGTGGAAGGTATGGTTAAAGCTTTTGCTAAGGGTCGGGTAAAGGGGCAGGGAAGGTCAAGAGAGGCTTGTCTTCAAAGAAGGTGCTGCTCCATCCCTGCTGTGGTTGTCGAGCCAGTGAGCCCAGGGCATGTCACACACTAAGAAACAATTCTGTCTGACACTCTTCTTGCACCCGTTGACTTAATAAAGTTAGTTTCATGATTGTTACACTGGAAATACGACCTGACAGATGTGACGGTGTGCTGCTAGTCTGTGCTGAGCTGTCATGGCCTTTTTGTCCAGGACAGCGTTCCCTTCTCACCCCCATGTCCCCACACCTTCCCTCTCCATGGGGCAGTTAGTGCCTCAGGACGGTGGTATTCTGGGAACACGTAACTTACAAGGAGAGGGGTCGTACGGCTTCCGTGCCACATCCATGGTTATTGCAGAGGAGGTGAGTTTATTCGACTCTGCATTTTCAGATCAGCTCAAGCTTTCCCCCTGCTCTCGCTGGCTATGTTTTTAAAGTGTGAGGTCCAGGAGAAGAGCCTTGCTGCTGGGTTCAGAGGAGCATCCTATGGGCTATAGATGTGGTGTATCTTCCCTCCAGCTGTCCTGGTTCTGGGCATGTGGGTGCAGGAAGGACACACAGACTGTGTTGCAGCATTTGCTGGGCAATAGGCAGATTTTAGGGTACTTCAAATCATGGGCCCAAGGATGTTAAAACCAGCCACTGTGCAGTAACATGTTCATTTATTTTTTTTCCTCTTTTCAAGCCATTCTTCTGGCATCCAAAGAACTCATCCGAAGCAAGCGTTTGAGGCAACTCCTGGAGGTCGTTCTGGCCTTTGGGAATTATATGAACAAGGGCCAAAGGGGAAGCGCGTACGGCTTCAAAGTCTCCAGCTTGAACAAAATCGCAGACACCAAATCCAGCATAGACAGGTAGGCTAGAAACCTGTCAATGGGCTACTGCGCTGCTGCGCCTCTTGTCATGGTAATGAAAGTGGGGTTGGTTTGGGTTTAGCTCTGTAGACCATTTAAAATAATGTCTTGTTTGGCACTGAGGCAGTGCTTTGAACTCTAAAGGATCCGGCAGCCGTTAAGATCAGCTATTAAGGCAGCACTGGAATTCTGCTGTTTCTCTGGATAACTCACATCTGTTGTTGGATGGTGTTTCTGCAACACTGTGCAAAGATGACAAAATGTACTATTTCACAAATCACTGAAGTAAGTCGCAGGGGGAGGAGGATTTCTACGGAATTTGCCCTTTATACCGAAGTTTTACGGCCATGGTTTTGCAGCAAAAAAAAAAAAAAGAAAACACAAAAAACTCTGACCACAGTTTTATGTCTCCTGTGAAACATGGCATATGTTTCTGATGCCGAGCTGTCAGAAACTGCCTCTCGACCTACCCCATAACCGAACCACAAGGCGTAGTTCAGAGAGACTGAGCCTGGCTTTTTTTAGGGAAAAGAGCTGGTTTGGGGAAGGTGGAGCTTACTATTTATAGACACGAGGTGCAGGTCTTTATAGTGCTACCCCGTGTTTTTGCCCCACATCCCCATAGCGGTTCTGGAAATTAATCCAGATGTGGCTGGGGAGAGAACACTGCTTCTGGGCTCCAGCAGCACTCAGGTTTTCCTTGGAGATCTCCTCTACTGGTTCTTACTAACTCACACCTTCCGTGGCTTGCTGAGACCACAGTTGTGGTGAAATGACTCCCGGCTGCGACAGGATGAATAATGGCAGCAAGAAGCCATAGGAAATCCATCCCTACCTAACAGAGTTTGAACTAACAGAGTTCTGTTTTGACTACCACAATGTCCTTTCCACTGTATTCCAAGGCTAACACTTGTGTAGCTAGTGCTGAACTTTTTTTTTTTTTTTTTTTTTTGCCTGAATGTAGCTTGGCTTCATTTTCCCTATATTGAATGTCCTGTGCAGATTCTGTTCTCTCGCCGGTTCCCAGCTCCAGGCTCCAGTCCGTGTAAAGCCGTGGCCGTCTGCTGTCTCGCTGGTCAGTCCACCACACACAGCCCACCTCAAGTCGCTGTTGTGGCTGGCTGTTCTCTCCACGTGCAAAATCCACTTGTGCAAATGTCATTATTTACTTTACAAATTTTCTTAAACCTCCTCCTGCATCTCTCATCCATCTGATTTCTATGGGATGGAGCTGCCATGGCTTTTGCAGCAGTGAGCCTGACCGCTGCTCCTGAGTATCGCTGTTCCATTACTGTAGGAGTTGCTCTTGCAGCTTCTTCAGTCTCCAAGGACCTTTTCCTCTTCTTAGTTAACTCTTAGGATTTTTCCACGTCGCCTCTGAGAACAACTCGCTTCTCCCTTGGGAGTTCATGTCACTTTAGTACTCTTAGTTGTTTATTTTCTGAAGTATCTAGGGACAAACAGTACACTGTGTTACGTAACTTTCTGTTACACCATTGACACAGATGGATGGAAGTATGCTAGTGCTTCCAGAATAAATCAAGGCACAATATATTGCCGGAGGTTTTAGGAAGGATGGTTCATAAAGGGCTAATTCATTTCAGTTTGGGATACTTTTCTTTCAGTAACAGAGCTGCTAACTGCTGATATATTGTTTGTTTTGTTCATTCAGGCACATTTCCTATCCAAATATTTTTCACTGATTTGTCATAATCCTCCTACCATCCTTTTCCTTCTCACCACCATCTTCATTCTCATTTCTCCCTTTTTTTTTTTTTTTTTTTCTTTTTAGGAACATTACACTGTTGCACTACTTAATTATGATCTTTGAAAAGAATTATCCAGATATCCTAGATATTCAGTCCGAGTTGCAGCATCTTCCAGAAGCAGCAAAAGTCAAGTAAGTCCAGTGCTATTGCTTGTTCCCAGAGCTGGAGTTCCCAGTGATTTGTTACCTTACTGATTATCAGGATTTTCATTGTTGTCCTCTAAACTCGTTGCCAGCCTTTCAGCTGAAATGCCTTTGCTCACATCCTCGATGCTATTCAGATGTACGTCAACAGAGAATTTTGGTTCCAAAACATTTGTAGATAACTAAATTGACAGCTTTACTTAGATATGCAGATATATATTTTATTTCTGAATCAGACATTGTAACTAGACTGGTTCTTGGTTTTCATTCATTCATTCACCATATTCTGTAATGGCTCATTTTAGTCACGTGCTATTTTTTCCGGCTAATTGGAGGTTTGTTTCGAAGGCAGAGTCAGGCACTGAGACTGTCGTAAGCCCTTTTCAGGAAGATCATTCAAACTTTTGCACAAATCAGTCTTGCACAAAAATGTGGGAAGCAGCATACTTTCTGCACAAATTTCAATTAGGTTTTTTTTTCCACTTCTGTTGGTGTTTGTGGAAAATGAATACACAAGCCATCCCCCAAAATACTAGCTTTTTTTTTTTTCTTTCCAAAGCACTGCTCAAAAATACCTTTGCATATTATTTGCCCAGCCATTGTTTTTTGTATAGAGAACTACTACAGCTAATGAAAGAGAAATGAAAAAAAAAAAAAAAACGTAGTTTCACAATTAAAGGCATTTAGTAAGGCTTTAGTGGTGTTTTTGAGATGTAAGCTGCTATTCACCAAATACTTGGAGGAGATGCCTGCTGCCTCACAAATAGGTACTAACGAGTTACCTGGAAATGAAAAGTCAATTTCTTTGTACAAGTCATAGAAAAAAACTCTTTTTTTGTATATGATGAGCAGAAATTCAGTACAAAACTTGTGCCTAAGGAAGCATGTATTAACAGTAGGGTTATATGCCCAGTTAGCTTGGAAGGATTACCATGTGGCAGAAATGCTGATGGAAAAAATAGTGTTTGGACTGTGAGGAAGACAAAAATCACATGTAAATGTACTGCGAATGGGATTTAGTGGTTAAGTGGTTCAAGAATGGTACGGAGAGATAATGTGAGACCCCAGTAACGTGTGTGCTAAGTCTGGGGTCCTCGCTTATGTGTCAGTTGATTATTCAGGGTGAGCACAGGCAAGCGGGGTCTGCCTCATCTGACATCTCATACAAAAAGCAGCACAGAGCCCCGACAGCCCCCCGTCCCCTCCTTTCTAATCATCTGGTGGGGCTGGTGCCAGAGGCCGGATACCAGACGGGATGGGCCGATGGGCTGCTCTGTGTTCCTGTGTAACACTGCTCTTTTTGTTCTATCTGCTCTGTGCCTGTCTCCTGTGCAGCCTGGTAGAGCTGGAGAAGGAAGTCAACAACATAAAGACCGGATTGAAAGCTGTTGAAGCTGTAAGTATCTGAAGGTTTCCAAAGCCCCATACTTGAAATATCTCACTCGGAATCAGGGGCACTATATATTTTATGATAAGAGAAAGTGGGCTTTCTTTTTCCATTCCTTTCCATTCCATTCCAGAATGCATTAACCAAGAAAAAAACAAATAAAAGCTTCTCACATGGAGCTCCTGCTGATGATCTTAGCAGACTTAAGCCTAATGAAAAGCTTGTTTAATCTCAGCCTGGAAAATAAAAAGACAGTTTGACAAATGGCACAGACTGAAAGAAGACATAAAATTCTTGCTCTTTCTTACTGATGGATGGCTGGTTGCTGAGCGTTTCACGTAGCTCTTGGAGCAGTAGTGAACAGGTAGTGCACTGTTCTGTGCAACCCTAACCTATCCTAAGCACTCCTTGGGTAGGCAAAGGCAAAGACTAGCTCAAGATGAGGGCACTGAGCTGGCAAGCAAAGCAGCAATGGTGCTTTTTCCTGCTGTTAATGAAAACCTTTTAAGCTGGACTTAGGTTTTCGGTGTTCAGTTTGGACGTAGGTAGTGCAGAGCATTCAATCTCAATGCAGAGCAGTACAGATGGTGCATTATAGAAGAGTTAAAGACGAGGAATGGGTCTGAATGCTCCCTGGAGTCACACCTTTGTGTGGCAGCTGTGGTTCCCCTGCCTGGAAGCATCCTTTAATTAACGTGTTGGGTTTGTTCGTGGGGAAAGGCTCCAGCCTTCCTGAGGCCAGAGAGCACAGAGCAGGACACCGCGTTCGGTGGCAGGAGGTAGGAACTCTCGTATTGCCTCTTGCTTATGCGTCCTTTTGTGGCTTTGACAATGTCCCATGCATTGCCTCCTTTCTGTGAAGCAGCAGCTGCAAACACCTCGCTCTTGCAAGGAACAGCAAGTTGGTGTTTGCACAGCAGCTGAACAAGTAAAGATTAAAGGCTAAAGTCACTCTGTTGGCTCTGTCCCTTAACATCTCCCATCATCTGCACAGATCAACATATTCTGACCCTCAGAACATCATTCTCTCTTCCTGCAAGTACAGGAACAAAATCCTACGTCCAGGTTGGTGCTGCCATCTCCTTGCCTGGTGGAGATTCTGTTGCAGAGGTCTCTGGAACCCAAGAAGGTCCCTGCTGTGGTTAGCTGTTCTTTGCCCTTTCAAACAAGGTTTTATTGCCACATTTTGCAGCATCCTTCTGTCCTTTCCAACCCAAACCATCCTGTGATTCTGTGATTGTTGGGGTAAGGGAGAACACAGCGATGACAGGAGATGCTGCTGCGTGCCTGGAGTGCAGTGTTTGGGAATGAAAAGCACCTGCAAAGGGAAGGCTGACGTGAAGAAAGGCCCAGTTTTGGCTGGGACAGACAATTCCCCCCCCATTGAAATGTGGGTACCTGCTTCTGCTTTGCTTTCTGTGATCAGGTTATTTGTTCTTTCACCTCTACAAGTATTTTTCTTCTCTTTCCCGTGCCTGGGTTCCAGGGGCAACCTCTCCTTCCCATTCCATCACCATCTTCCTCCCTCAGTCGTTCTCCCTGCCATGGTATTTTTCATCGGGGGCTGCCAGCACCTCCCAGTGTGCTTGCTCTGATCGTGGTTTTCTGGCATGTAAAAAGCAGTACTGCAGCAACAATAGAAGATCACTGTCAGGTGGAAGGGGGAGGAGGGGAAGGTGTGAGTCTTGATTCTGCTCCAGTGTGTTCTCACCACAGCCTTGGCTCCAGCAACTGAGAAGTTTCTTCAAGGCCCCTTAAGATTAGAAAGCTAAAAATAGTTTCACAGTCAGATGTTCTTAAAGGTACTGCTAACTCTTTGCCTTCCAGGATGTGCAGCTTCTTTGTAAAAATCACATCTACTCCTTTGTCAAGACGTGCACGCAGCTGTTGCCGTTGTGTAGGATGCTCCCAATGGACAGCAAAGTAGTTCTTGGTCTTCTCCAAATCAGGATGTGAATTGTGTCAGCACAGCCCTTCCCTCACACAGCAAGGAGATCATCACCGCTGCTTGAGAAACCACTGCCATGGCTGAATCACAGAATCACAGAATGGTTTGGGTTGGAAAGGACTTGAGAGATCATCAAGTTCCACCCCCCTGCCATGGGCAGGGACACCTCCCACCAGCCCAGGTTGCCCAAAGCCTCATCCAGCCTGGCCTTGAACCCCTCCAGGGATGGGGCATCCACAGCTGCTCTGGGCAACCTGGGCCACTGCCTCACCCCCCGCACGGGGAAAAATTTCTTCCTAATGTCCGGTCTAAATCTGCCCTCTTTCAGCTTATACCCGTTACCCCTCGTCCTCTCATAGAATCATTAAGGTTGGAAAGACCTCTCACTACATTTCATCCCTCTAGAGACCCAGCAGCCCAGCCCCAGGGGCAGCGCTAGCTCCTGCCGTTGGTGCTGTTATGATGAGTACGGACCATTTCTAGGAGATACAGAGGAGCTGCTTTTTCTCTAGCATCGCTCTTGGGCTGATCACGTAGTCATGCTGGTCACTTGTGTGTTGGGTTTTTTTTTTATAATTTATTTTGGAAGAATTATTCTGCAGGGAAGGACTGAATTTGAAATTAAGGGCAGACCACCTAATCTTACTTTGACTTTGAAAAACATTGCTCCTGGGTAACAGTCCCAAATGCCGTGTTTTTCAACAGTGAGTAAGATGACAGAACTGTTACACTCACCTGCTTGAGGAGGGGGAGGAGAAGGGGGCAGAGCAACTTTCAGCTAGAATTAGCTTAAAAATCAGAATGGGAAAGAGAAAAAATATGCATAAATCTTAGAAGCACGTTGAAGTGACATTTCCTGTACTTGTAAGGTCCAGTTCAGAGTGATTGGAACATCGAGACAATTCATCGCAAAGTGATGTAACTGAGCAGCGCTCCCAGGACCGACCCTTGGGATGTGTCAGGAAAACCGGTGGAGAAGAGGATGTAATTTAAAGCAGGGGAAATAGCACTTCTTTCTTGTGGACTTTTCTCCAGCCACCTGCTCATTGCAGTGGTCACATCCTCTTTCCAACAGGCCAGAAGATATATCACATCTGAGTTTAGGTTGTTGATGGCCAAAGCCATTCCTTGCATTCAGTGGAGCAAATCCCAAGGAGTTTCTCAGCATCGATGCTTATAAACCTACCCAGTTGGCTCTGGTAACCAGTATTTTGATGACCAGTAACAGAGAGCACCAAATATCTGTGTAGCTGGAGTTGCAGCCAACACAAAAAAAATATTTTTTTTGAAGGGAACAGAGGGTCAGATTGTAACTTGACCTGCTGTTTCATGCTGCTTTCCCTCCAGAGAAAGCAAGGCTTTATCATTCCCACTAATTATTCAGCTGACAATAAAGATGAGGCCCAGATTACCATTTCATTGTCCCCGTGAGACTGTCAGACTGCACACGAGCCAAGCCCAGGCGCGGGAGAATGCCAGTCTCATTATAACTGCGGCATTTTGAGGAGCTCCGTAGCTCTTTCAGTGCCACAAGCATGGTGAATAGAGTCAGGGAAGAGATAGCATGGGTCATCTTGGCCTGAAACTGATAACTTCAGACAGAAAGAAAGAATCTTACAATTTTTTTTTCTTTCTGTAGGTAGATGACAAACACAGCTTAGCTTCCTATGGGTTTGTGTCTTCTTTTTTCTTCATTTTTTTTTTCTGTAATGATTCTTTTGACAGTAGCCCCAGTTTGTAACTCTGTGACTTTTATGACATCCAAGCTAACGCTTATTGGTTAGCAAGATGCTGGCAAATGTTCTACCTGACACCTTTCTCTTTTTTCTTCAGTGGGAGAACCAGTTTTGATGTCTTTTTGCTCCCCTCTAGTGCTTTTCAGAGAATTAAAGGGAAGAGACAAAGCTAGGAACTACATAGATTTTTCACATGTACACATTTCCCTAAGTATCCAGCCTGTTGAGTCACCATGGGAAGAGAAGATGGAGCGAAACTCACTATTAAAAATTCCAAATTCACTTGCTGCACAATCCAAGTTCTCTGTTATTTGTCACTCTGCATAGGAAAAAAAAAAAAATTCAGCATTTCATGTACTTGATGCTTAAATTATAAAGTTGCTTTAGAAATTCAACACGTTGCTGGCTTTCTTGGGAGTGCTTGTTGTTTGAGGATATGGGGAACTGTAACTAAGACCTTCCTTCATCTCACCTTAACCTTCCCTCTCATGCTGAGAAGGCAAAAACTTTGACTTGGCAAGAAAGTGGTTTTGGAGTTACAGCTCCGGATGAACGTGTCTGGAGTGGGAGCAGAGCGTGCCCTGCACTGGGTGAAATCGATGGGCTTCCCTGCTCCCTTCCTTGTCAGCCAGGAATCTCGGACACTTGCCTGTCTGTACCTCTTAACATTTTCTCTTTCAGGAACTGGATTATCAGAAGAGACGCGTGCGGGAATCTGGGGACAGGTTTGTTCCCGTCATGAGTGATTTCATCACCGTGGCCAGTTTCAGCTTCTCAGAGTTGGAAGACCTTCTCAACGAGGCTAGAGACAAGGTATGAACGCCTTTTGAAGTGTTTGGGGTTCCACTGGCTCAGTCAAAAGCCTGAATCCAAATGGAAGCAGCAATTTCAGATGCTGGGACTGGAGTGAAAACTATACTAGACACTGAAAGTGGTGTAGGCTGAAATTTCTGACTTTTCCTAATCTGGTCTCTAGCAATTTAGAATATATATTTAGGATGAAAAGAAGGTTCAATGCTCTTGCTCACTTCTTGCTAATCTTTCTTAATGTTATTGTGGCATAGAATTGCAATGGCGATGTCTGTACCAGGATATCATAGAATCATGGAATCATTAAGGTTGGAAAAGACCTCAAGGACCATCGAGACCAACCATCGAGTCCAACCATCAACCCAACCCCACCCAACCCACTAACCCATGTACCCAAGCACCACATCTACACGTTTCTTGAACCCCTCCAGGGATGGTGACTCCACCACTGCCCTGGGCAGCCTGTTCCAATGCTTGCACCATCCTGTGGTGTTGAAGGAACAGCCTTTTAAGCAGCCTCTCAAAAAGAGGTCCTTTGGTGATGAGTGACAGTGACCTCAAATATTTTACCTTTTGCTTGATTCCAGTCAGCTCGTTTGGCTGGGGACATTTGTGCTTCATTTTTTTCCTTTTAAAATGCACCTCTGGGTAGTTGGGTAACTCCGAATACCTGCTCTTTTCCCATTGTGCTTCTCTGCTACTGCTTGTATTTCACTGCAAGGATAGAAACCCCAAACACACCTGGTTTGTCTGATGTTCTTGGCTCCTTCTCATGCAGCCAGCACCACGTGTATGTTCCTCTTCAGGTGCTGCTGGGATCATTTTGTCCTTTCCCTGTCTGCACCTCCATTACCAGGTTTGTACAACTAAGGAGGTGCTTGTTCTTTGCTGATGATTGGAGTCTGGCACTAATCCCTCTGTCTCTCAGCTGAACGAGGAAGAATTTATATGAAAAGATCATAAGCATATGAAAATGTTTGGAGAAGAGCAAGCTCTAAAGTAAACGATATGTAATGGCAAACCTGCCCTTGCTGGCTGGCACGTTACAAGCGCTTGGCTTTACGAAGCAAATGCGTTATTTCTTTTGGATGGAATTGTTTCCACTGCTGGTGTCAATCCGCGCGGCGTTAAGGGAGCTGTTGCATTATTAATGAAACCTGGGCTGTTAGGTTGGTCGGCCTTAGATTTTGAAGGATAGGCAACATCCAGGCTGAGGATCTGAAGAGTAAGACTCCTCACTCATCCGTTTGCTCTGCAGGAATGGCATTCTGGAATGCACCAACATTTCCTTGCTGTGGAGATGTTGGTCATACTGACCTGCCGCTGCAAGCAGCAGGGGCTACTGGCCATCGGACAGAGCTGGCCACCCTGGCAAATGCAGTTGGTACGGCACTCAGAAGGCAAAGCTGGGCAGTCGAGCACTTGTTAAGAGTTGTAAGGAAATTTTGTGGAGAATAATGTGCCTCATTTTTCAATTGTTTTTTTGCTCAAGAAGATTCAAACTCCTTCCAGTACAATAATGTTCACACCATACTCGCTTTATAATCACAAAACCAATATTTTATATTCCGTGCCTGTAGGAAATTTACTGAGAAAAGTTCAATTTTTTATGGTTTGGGGGTTTGTTTAACAACTGGGTATATTTTTCAACTTCATTATAGTTAGGTGCACATTTCTGGAAGAAAATAATTCTGTTCTTGGCTTAGACTGCCCGCTTTTGCTTGGGTGTTACGGATGGTGGTGGTCCTTTCTTTCGGCACATGAGGACAAGCGCCCAATGCAGATTCTTTACAAGGGGTTAAAAACCAGCAAGTGGTACACGTCCAGCACAGCAATGCGACTTCCCTTGATCAGGCACTTGCAGGGAAAAAAAATACTGTTCTTTTGCTTTAAGAATAACCAGAGAATCTCCCTACAGACGGACCAATCTGTCTGGAAGTTGTTGCACGCTTTTTTAGATGTAGCCAACATAAAGCGCTTGACATAAAGAGATGTTTTATTTTAATGACTATAACATGCTTAGGAAATGTTTCCCTACCTTCTCTCACCCTTACTATGTTTGAACACACGCCATTCCAACTTCTGCTCAACCTATGGCTTTGGTTCTTCCACTGGCAAAAAAACTGCTGTTGGACTCCTGGAAGGGAACTGTCTGTCCTTACCGATGCTGAGCTATTTCTCATGTTTGCCTCATATTATTTTTCCCCCATCTTCTTCCTCTTTTTCCTCTTTTTTTCTTAAAAAATAAAAAAAAAGGAACAAGAAAGCTGGAAATTTTCAACAAACCAGATGTGCTTTGTGAAGCCTGTAACATCTTCCAACCTCAATGGGCTCTCTGTGTTTGTTGAATCACGAGCTTTTTTCTTACCATGGAAACCTGCTAGAACTAGAGGGACCAAGACATCTGATCATCCTGGTGTTGTTTTTTTTTTTGATTTCTCAAAGCAAAGCAAATTGGAAAAAAAAAAAAAAAAAAGGTATTTGGAGAGGGATGACTTTTAAAAATATCGTAATGAGACCAGGAAGAATTGGTCTGGTGCACAGATTTATTAATATTAATGGAGCCCTAGTTTTAACAGCTGGAGTTGGATATCCTTCTAAATATAGATGTGGCTAATTGATTGCCATGAGTTAATCAGAGCCATGTTTCCTCAGCTGGGATTTAAAACAATACATATTATCTTTGCAAACCTGGGAATTTTTTTTTATTTTTTAAATGCCTTTAGTATTGTCAAAAGTCATTTCTTTATTCCTTTAAGTTATGGAAACAATCCATTACCAAGGTGTGGTGCTGACCTTCTCTGTAGAGGATATTTTTTACAATCCCATGCAGTACTTTTTTTTTTTTTTTTGGCCTTTTTGCTTAAACAGGACCTTTTTTAATTTTATTTTAATATTTAAAGGGCCAGGCTGTCAGATGTAGGCATCTGTGTTTGCAGAGGAAGCCTTATAACTGTACCGGTCTTCATGCCGTGAACAGATGGCTTGGTTAAGACCGGACTGAAAACTTAGACCAACTCTTTAAACAACCTCCTCAGCACAGCTGGTTCTTGTTCTTTTTGTGTTTGTCTCGCTTTCAATACCACTTTATAAGGGAATATATAGATTAGATCAAGGGATAATGTTTTCTGCTGTTTACCATAAACTAGAAGATGGAGGCAGGAGACAGTGAAATTCTGCCCTGGAATCCTTTACCAGTTTTTATGTGTTCAAACAGATGAAAAATTGACTTTTTCACATCAGAAAGAACACAATAGGGCTGAGTTTTGCTGTGAAAATTTTTCCCTGTGTTTCTTGTGGGGAGAGAATGAAAATGCCCAGGCAGAGGAACAGTGACTTCCCATGGCATGAACTTTTATTTTCCTACGTGAAAAAGGGGACATTTCCTCTGTATGAAGCTTTACAACATACTTAAATGTTGACACGTATGCACTTAGATCACTAGACTGCTTCTTAACTGCTCTACTTTGGGCTTGCTTTATATCAAATCTGTTTTTAAAACATTTTGGATCTTCCTAGAAAAATAAAGTCTGCTCAGTCAGCCATTGCCATCCCTGTGCTGAATATCAAACTTCAACTTCTCTATCGAGGCACAGCGGAGGCCACTGCCTGGCCAGGGCTCAGGAGGGCAGGAAAAAGGTCCATCCCCAGTCGTTCTCGTGACAGCTCCTCTCAAGCAGGGTGTTTCTCTTTATGGTGGAGACTGGAGTCATTTGGGAATAAATTCTGTAGCTGTTGTACCCTAACTTAGAACTGCCGATGCTTCAGGGCAGGCTGGCATCTAAAGGTATCAGAAATGTCTGTATCCTCTCGCAATAGCAGACAGCACAGACAGCAGAAAATTTTTATCATGGCTGTTTTCCCTCTTCCTCCTCCTCAAGCCCCGTTCCTGCCATTTCCAGAGCTCTTCTGCCACTGTTTAACATTTTGTTGGCAAGCACAGCAGAGACTGTGTGCGCTGCTGTCCCGCTTTCACTCTCCTTGCTAAAATGCCTTTTTAAAATAAACAACTGTCTAAACGATTTGCTTTGGCAGGAGGATGAATTCAGTGGAAAGTTTGGCAGAGGAAGCAGAGCTGGCACGGAGCTCGTGGACCTGTTATACCATGGAGCTTGGGGGCCCTTATGGTGTGGAAATGAAATTTTTAATGAAAAAAAAAAAAAATAGATACCATCCTGTATTACAGTGGAAAACCGTCGGCAACACAGTTTTCCATCTTGCTTTTGCCCATGTCATCTGTCCCCAAATGACTTCAGAAACAAGCGAGTTGCAGCCCTTGTTCCGCAATATTCCAGCAGATATTCTAGGAAATGTTTTGCACGCGTGAGGACTTAGCTGCAGGTTTCACAGTCGTGCACAAGAGCAGTTACTGTTCGACAAGGAATCTGCTGCAGGGAAATGGAAGAAGTGATAAAACCAGAGGGGTCTGTTGCAGTGTAAACGGTGAGAGGACAGCGTGTCTCCCTTTACAATACTGCACTGTATCGATGTCGTGCCCTACAGATGTGAACAACTGATTTTTTTTATTTTTTTTTTGCCATTTCCTATATCAGGTTAGTGGGGCAAAACTTTTTGTTGTGTAACGAAGGGAGAAGGCTCAGAAAGGACACGTGAGCTCCCAAGCCACACCATGGGCAGAGCTGGCAGCAGAGGCTGGATCTCCTGAGCTGCCTTCCTCTGCTCAGTCAGCTCTTTTCTGGAGAGGGCAGAGAAAGAAGGAAAATGTTTACTTCAGTGAGCTGCACATTTCTCTTTTGTAGTTCTTTTGGTCCATTTAGCTCACAGATTTTTGGTTTTCATCTTTCCCTGCTTTACAGTGAGTGACTGTGACCTCCTCAGCCATCTCCCAGGGCACCAAAGACAGTCTGTTCTCAGCCTCCTCCTTGCTGCTGCATAGAGACCACAACCCCTTATATCCATGAGTGTCTCTGGAAGGCTCCCAGGCTGCGGGGTCTTTCCCACATGGCAACACTGTGCCTCCTTGGAGGGGGGAGGCAGCAGCAAAAGCCCCTCTACCAGTGTCGATAGTTGGGTGACGGTCCATGTGCAGAACATCAGCAGACAACACCACCCTCTAACGGAGGCTCCCGTGTATATGGGATCCAAGAGGCTAGGCAAGGACCTCCTCCTTTTCAACCCCCAGCCTCCCGAAAGGATGAGGAAACCCCCATGGGCATTATGGTCTCAAACCAGCTCTTCTTGCATGGCCCCTCACTCACCTTTGCTGTGCACAGGAGGAACACGGGGGATGGAGGCGATGCATCACTAGGTACCACCACAGCCATCGCTCTGGGCTTCAGGGTTCACAGGAGGCGGACAAGCCTTCCTCCTGGCTGGCAGCTCTAGTCACTGCTGTTAATTTGTGCCTTATTTTCAGTTTTCCCCAGCGTTTAACCACAAGTAGGAAGAGGTTCCAGGTAGCACGTCTCCTGTGAGCAGTGAGCTTCAGGTGCTCTGTGTGTGTGAGCAGCGGTGGCAATGCCTGTTGCAAATGGATGCTTTCAAGTAAATTATATTCTGAAGGGGAAGGTCTTTGGATTCTTGACTGTGTAATAAATCTTTTTCAAAGGATGAAGCAGCATCTTGGCAGAAGTCAGAGGACTGGCCTCCTGGCAAATATTTCTGTGCAAGACTCTTATTTGTGACTACGGATAGAGCAAAGTGGAGTCTTATTCATTGGAGATGCAAAGTCTGATCTCATTTAACTTAATTTAATCCCCCATTAACTGAGATTGTTTAGTCTAGAGAAGAGGAGGAGACCTTATCACTCTCTACAACTGCCTGGAAGGAGGGTGCAGTGAGGTGGGTGCTGGGCTCTGCTCTAAAGGAACAAGGGATGGGACAAGAGGAAACGGCCTCAAGTTGCACCAGGGGAGGGTTAGGCTGGAGATTAGAAAAAATTTCTTCACTGCAAGAGTGATGAGGCATTGGAACAGGCTGCCCAGGGCAGTGGTGGAGTCACCATCCCTGGAGGGGGTCAAGAAACGTGTAGATGTGGTGCTGGGGGACATGGGTTAGTGGGTTGGGTGGGGTTGGGTTGATGGTTGGACTCGATGGTCCTTGAGGTCTTTTGCAACCTTCATGATTCTATGATTCTATTCTATGAAGCCTTTCCCTGGCACTCCTGCCTCCCTGGCTGATGAGCACACTGGAGCAGGCAAGCCAAGAAAATACAGCACATGGAGATGCTTTTGCTCCCTCTGTGGTATTGACAGCCTGGATTGTTGTGGGACTGCTGCACGTTCCTAATATTCAAGCCGAGTACATGTACATTATATACAGAGAAAATACATATGTACAGAGAGGGGTGGGGAGAAAGCATAAGTCTGCACATTTGTGTGTGTGCGTCTTCAGAGGTTTTGGAGAAAAGGAGTTAAAACAGAAGTGATGTGTTGCTGTTTCCATACTCTGAAGTCCCTCCATGACTTGCTGCTGAAGTGCTTCCTTCAACTCTTGCCATGTTTGGTAGCTCAAAGCAACTTGCATTTCTTCCAACACTTTTTTTTTTTCCCCTCAGATACTTTGGGTTTCTTTGTTTGGTTCTGGCTGAGAACGCAGCCTTTTTAAAGGAAAAAAAAAGAAAAAAAAAAAGAAGCTATTGCTTCAAACTGCATTGTGGGCCTGGCAGGGAAAGCAGAGGAGAAGAGATGCCGAATCTCTCCGGCTGTGCCAGAAGGAAGCTGCTTTCCCTGGAGATTTCTTCCCCCTGCAGTTGACTGGGAGACATTGTTTATGCTTTACCTGGTACAGAGCCAGAGGGGTTTATAAGAGCTGCTTCCAAACTCATTTTCTGCTTGGGACTGGAGCCTGATCTATTCGTACTGTCCTTTCCATTCTGCAAAGGCAGCCACCTAAGGAAAGGGAAGCTGGGCTGCGGCCGTACGAGCTGAATCCCCGCCCAAGAGAGCCTGAAGGCAGTGCGCAGCCTGGCGGGGTCTGGGTTTGGCTGGGTGGCGGCTGAGGTCTGTAAGGATGCTCTGCAGCTTGGCGGTGGTGTGGTGAAGTCCAAGCAGGGGATGCTGGGGGAGCCGTGCACCGGGGCACCGGTGCCATCAGGAACGTGCCGCTGGTGCTGCCTGTTGCGATGCAGAGGTGTGTGGGTGAAGGTGGTGGGACAGCGGTACAGCCTTGGGATGTGTACAGTGATACAGGACCTAGTGGCCACGGGTGTACGTGCTGTTGACAGACTATCTGCATGCATACATTCTGGTGAGCGGAGAGGCATGCTTGTGAGTGTGAGAGAGCAAAGAAGAGAGGACAACTACTGCAGGGCTGCTGTCCCAGAGCTAGGGCTTGCTGTGGATTTACCCTCTCCCCATCAGGACTGCCCTGTGACTGAAGTCCTGCCAGTTGGCTGCCTCCACACGCGTCCCGCAGCCTCAACATTTGCCTTTTAAAATAAAAGCCACTTGTGTTGTATTCGCTCTCTTTTGAGCCTGCCCGGGAGCCCTGGCTGCTTTCCTCGCCCCTCTCTCATGCCGTGTCTGTCCATAGTCTCCTCTCTCCCAGGCAACACCCTGACTCAGAGGACTCCAGAGTGATGGATGACACGGCAAAAGGCTCTTGAGAGGACAGACTGTCATATTATTGGGGAAAAAAAAAAAAAAAGAAAAAAAAAACCAAACCAAACAAACAAACCAAAAAAACCCTCTAACTCCACCCATTTTAAAAGTGGATTTGAGGAGAAGGTTGAAGGGGAAAGGATGGACCAAGACTACTTTTTCCCCAGCTAGCTCACTGTCTTCTGTGCCCCTGCTGTCCCACAGCTGCAGCTGAGATGTGGCCAGATGGTGTGAAATGACTCCACCACCCTCAGGCACTGAACACAGGGGTTTTTGGGGTGTAAGCGGACAGCCAGTGCTCTCCAGCACCGTTGCCCCTTGTTTCCCCAAGGATATCTAGGAGAAAAAATTCTTCAGGGCCAGAGGCACCAGCCTTAAGGAGAGGCACTTCTCTTGCTGGGGGGTGGTTTCTGCTCTCCCCGTGTGGATGCTCGGAGGATAGTGATTTACACGCACGGTTACTCACCAAACTGCCTCATTGTTGCTCTTGTCTTTTCTGCCCACCTTGACAGTACGCCAAGGCACTGAAGCATTTTGGAGAGAGCGAGGGCAAGATGCAGCCAGATGAATTTTTTGGCATCTTCGACACTTTCTTACAGTCATTTGCAGAGGCCAAGCAAGATCTGGAGAATATGAGGAAGAAAAAGGAAGAAGAGGAGCGCAGGGCACGCATGGAGGCCATGGTAAGGACCTGGGCGCAGGAAGGTCTTTCCTTCCATCGCCTTTTCATGTCTTGAAGGTTGAGTGACCCAATTCCAACGCTCATCTCCTGTGACTGTTTTATGTCCTTCTCCCTGCTGCCTCTCCTGGGCATCATTCTCTTCACAAACGATGACATTTTTCCTGCTGGCTCTTCTATCAGCTCTCAAGGCTGTGTTGTTTAGCTCCTAGATTATGGTCTTTTGGATTCCCATAGCCCATCTAGCCCTGCCTGTTCTGCAGGAGCTAGCACGCAGAGCAAGCGACCTGCTTCCCGACAGCCGCATCCCTCCCGTGGCATTCCCACTCATCTCGGAGCCGAGCAGCGGGGTGGGGAGTGGGGGGGACAAGCGAGCTCGCTGGAGCTGCCCTAAGGAGACTGAGGGCATCACGTTGAGAGGTGGGGACCTATCCAATGATTTACAAAACCAGCAGTTCTGTTTCATTGCTCGTTGTGTTTATGACCAGTTTCTCTTTCCAGAGGCGAGGCAATGTGCCGTCCTCTTCCCACCACTGCAACACATGAGCTGTTTGGTGGACAGAGTTTCTGTTGATGTTTTAATATCTTGCACAGGGGTTTCTTTTTTTTGCCAATATGTTTAGCTTGTGGCTTTCTGGGTTTTTTTTCCTTTCTTATTTTCCTCCTTCTGCACGACTGCAGCCTTTCTGCCTGTCAATTCAGCTAGCTGTGACTACAGAAGTGACCGTGGTTTGGACAGACGCATCCAAACTAATTTTAAACTCACTAGGTTAGGTACTGTCACCTTAGTAGGTGCTGCCACTGCAAGCCTGGTCCCAGAAGCTGGGTAATTACCAATGCCAGCATCACTTCTCGACTGTCATTTAGCACAGCTACTTTGCTGGCACTCTCCTATTGTAAAATTAGCACCAAACAGCAGCAGCACAGACAGATCCCACGTGTCCTCGCTGCTCCAGGGTGGGAGTGCTTTCTGAGGCACACATACAACGCTACTTATTCCTCATCTCTCCAGCTCTCTGCTCGCCTGTGCAGAAGAAGGGAAGCCCAGCATGTTGCCTGTTGCTCTTGGCACAGGTGATGGCCTTGTGGATATGCTGCTGGACTTTCCCCTCCCCCCCCAAGATGCATCTTAGCTGCTTCTTGGCAGTGTACCTAGTGATCTGGCACCTCGGTTAGCTAAGCCTAAAGCTCTGTCTCTCTTCACAGCTAAAAGAGCAGCGGGAAAAAGAGAGGCGACAAAAGAAAGCGAAAGCTGGAAGCATCTCTGAAGAGAGCGGGGAGTTTGATGACCTGGTGTCAGCACTAAGGTCGGGCGAAGTCTTTGACAAAGACTTATCCAAGCTCAAGCGTAACCGCAAGCGTTCGGGGAACCAAGGTTTAGAGACGAGCCGAGAGCGGGTGGTGACAAAGCTAAATTATTAATTACAAGAGGAAGAAAAATAATCAACCAAAAGAAGGTGATGAAAAAGTGCCAAACCAGGAAGATGAATGTGTGCGATGGCGCCTGGCTGACAGCTGCCCCAAAGGATTTCTTTGGTCTGTGGCTAGAGACGTTACCTTGCCATGATCAGCTTTCCTCTCATCCCTCTTCTGTGCTCCTAATTTGAACCATTATAAAAGTGCCTCTGTGGAGCCAGCAGGGCTTGTGACTGGGCCGTGCGGAGCCGACAGATTTGCTTCTGGGAGTTTATTGTGTCATCAAAGGCCTCGTGGTGGTGACAGAACGTACTTGGGCTTTGCAGACTGCCTCACAGCTGGAGAAAGATCATTTCCTATGTGCCAAAGCAAAAACTGCTTCTGATCTCCATCTTGGTGATAATAACCAAAGACTCATTTCCAAGCAGCTCTACAGGGCTGTCGCTTCTTCAAGATCTAGACTGGCCTTCGGGGGGCTTGTCAAGATGTGGTTCTCAAGGTTTCCAGTTCCCTTCCAGAATTGGGTTTTATAAGCCATTGATCAGCACCTGAAAAATGCTTTTGGGCTCATGTTCTGTACAGTACTTTTGTATGGCCTACACTGTCCAAAGCAAGTGATGCTCAGAAGGAAGTAACCGGGTTCCGGAACCAAGAGAGAAATTCAAGAATCAGGATCAACATAAAATACTTTGCGAAAGTCTTTTAGCTTCTGCTTTTCTAGAAGCAGCTTTCTGGAATTTGTTGATGGTTGAGTCTCGAGGCTATGAAATGCATCTTCTTGGAAAGAAGCTCTGGCTTTTCTTTAGCAAACTAAGCCACCGCCGGGTTGGGATTACAAGGAGATTACTTTGGAGCCTGTTGGCATTGCTGGAGGGTGGGAAGGAAACGGTGGAACATTTCTTACCTGTTTGTGCAAGACATCCTAGCGCAGCCCAATGGAAATCAGGAGCTCCCTAATATCATCCCCAGGTCACAAACAGCAAAAAGCAGACGGGGTTCACTGGCTGCAAGAAATGTGATTTCTTTTCCACTTGATGCTAGCTGTGGTTGCTGTTGGCATGAACTGGTCTAACTGGCTGACCTTCACTGCACACACCCCGCTCCTACCGAGGGGAATCGCCTCAGTAAGATATATACGAACGGTGTCGAAAGAGAGCCTTGGAGCCCACGGGCTTTTCCATTTTAAAGGGATCACTTGGGATGAACCAACAGAGGGTCCCATGATGAAGACTGAGAATTCTTCCAGGAGGACACAGAATTGTCTAAGCTGAGCAGGCTTTGCAGATGGGTTAATTCATATTAAAAAAAAAAAAAAATTGTATTTAAGCTACATGTATGAAGCACACAGTGGAAAAGCAAAGAACCCAAGGAAGAGGCTTGAATTCTGTGTGTCTTCATGGCTCTAGGAAAGGGATTGGATTGTGTGGGCTGTCATGGGCTTTTTTTTTTTTTTTTTTTTTAATCTTGTCTTCCTTTTTTTTACTATCTTCCCTGGAGAAGGAAAAGAGGAAAATAAATAAATGGTGATGGATTCTTTCTCCTAGACAGGAAGAGAGAACATTTGAGAAAAGGGACCCACCATCTACAAACTGTGCATCAATAGTCAACAGCACAAAATGTCAAGGAATCCCAGGGAAGTGAAAAAAAAAAAAAAAAGCTCTATTTGTCACTTTAATCATTTGGTTTGATTTTTCTCTGAATGTCACTTAACCTCAGGCTCTGCACTGAGGCTGCAGAACAGAACTTCCTCTGCCATGCACGCTGCCTGATCAGTATTACACACTCCCGATATCGGAGAAGCAGACTGTGGTGGTTTTCTGAACACTTTGAGAGTAAAATAATTATGTAAACTATGGAAAGAAGAAAAAAAAAAAAAAGTCAGAATTGTTAAACTCTAATATTGCATTGTTTACTGAATTTTGAGTCTCCCACCCCAGAATTTCCCTATTGACAACATTCCAGACTGCCGCGCCTCTGTAGAATACTCATCGTAAAGAGCTGGTATCTTACAAGAGCTGGGTGCATTCTCCTCCCTGATTATCCCATTCCCCTTCTGGGATTAGCTATTAACAGCAGTGCCCATTGCAGCGGACACAAGCACCTTGTAGAAGAAAGACTGTTATTTCATAAAGGTTTTGGGAAGTTTAAGAAAAACTCTGACTTTTTAAAGCATTTTTATTTTAAATTGCAAAATGGATTTTTAGAGATGTCTCTTGTAAATTATATTAATGAGCTCCTTGCTGCTCCCTGAAGTAGATGTGCTATATCCCAGCCCTTTTCGTTTGTCTTGTTTGAAAGCATGCCATATAACCTATGCCACGTAAAGCCATATGAGAGGTGGTGATATGTGCCAAAGTGGTGTACAGTTGAGTTTAGGTTTGGATAATCCCTGAATTCCAAAGATGATGCTTTCAGGGATTAGAACATTGTCGGGTTTTTTTCCCTTCTTCATTCTCCCTGGGTTTAGGACTCACCCAGAGATTCAGGTGTAGTGCCAAGGTCAGCCCTGGTGCGAGATGATGTGACTCATGGCTCTGTCCAACTTACGGCTGCTTACTTGCTCCCCAGGTACTTGTTCGATAAGGCAGGCTGTCAGCGTGGGAGCGCTGTCGGAGAAGAAACAGCTCAGGGCAAAACCCTTGACTATATAAATACGGCATTCCCCTCCCCAGTATTTGCCAAACCAGGTTTGTGCTGTGCTTTTTCAAACTGAAGTCACTTTGCCAGGCCACAAATGTAGCAAAAGCAGAAGGAGAGTGGTAAGCCCTCTGTCCATGTGGGTACACAGTTCAGCCTGGATTGGAAGAGATCCCGTAGGATGGTACGCGGCGCTCCGGCCATGCTGACAGAGTCAAAGAAAGCTGCTGTAGTTTTGCCACCTCCTTGACTCATACACAAATCATGAGAGATTGTGCAGCTCCTATAAGTCAGCTGGGGGATGCCTACTGGGACCAACAAAGCTCAGAGTCATGCCCCTGCTGCGATCACTGCTTTCTCAGTGCTCCGAAGCCCCAGACTCGTTTTGCATCTGTGATGGTGTCTTGACGGCTTTGTTCAGCGTGCTGGATGGTCCCTCTGGCTCTTGACTCTGTGGTGAAGGTTCCTAAAGAGAGTTTTGGAAAAGCTCAGTTGCACATTGAGGCAAGCAGTGATTTCATGGAAGTGGTGACAAGCGGAGAGGCCCGTTAATAGCTCTACTGTAGGAGATGAGGCTGGCCACCCAGAAGATAAGGAATAAAGTTGGCTCTGCTCTAGGGCCTGGCATCAGATTCTTGCTGAAAGCCAAGTTTGTCCTTGCTTTTCATCTCTGGGCTACCGCAAGTGCATCTATGGTCTATTCTTCATCAGCAGTTGTGGTCGAGTTGATGAACGCTGAAGAAGAAAGGAAAATCTTATTCCTTGTCCTCTAGTGCTAGCAGAGCCCGGGTGGGTATAGCGAGCAGTTGTGATGCGTAACATTGAGGCATGACCTCTGAGAGCCGGAGAAGAGCCGGGGTCTGCTGTTGTCCTTGCACGCGTGGCTGGCACCAGCATGAGAAGTGAAATCATGCTGTCTTTGGAAATAAGGGGAGGAGGAGATGGGAGAAAGAAGGGTGTGATTGAGGGCTTGTTCTGCTTCCTGCAGAAATGTAGTCGTTGCTAACTTTATGATGAAGTTGTTCACGCCCAGAAGAGGAGGTCCTTTCTGACTCTCCATACTTTGTCCCTAGAGGGCTAGTGCTCACTTACCTCTGTGTCTCTGCATCGGTCTTAAGCAGGTTGCATTAGGATGATCCCAGAAAAGACTGAAGAACTCCCTCCTCCTCCTCCTACTCCCTTTGGTCTGGGTCGCTCTTCTCAGTCGCTCATTAAGTCTCTGGAGATGCTACAAGGTAAAGTGACTTCAGGGCAGCAAGGCCCCTCGGTGCCCTGCAGCACAGCTATCGTCCAGGCAGCGGTTCCCTACGAGAACAGAAGTGGGATGAGTGTTCAGGGGTGAGAGGCTCCCCACTAGGGAGACAGCCTGGGTGTCCTTCAGAAGCATTTTGGTAACGTGTTCACAATGTCCGAGGAAGCGAAAGAAATCGCGAGGGGCCCTGGTGGGAGACTGTGGGGCAGGTGTTTCTGTAAGGGTCTGAATCTTTCCTCTTCCTTAGGAAAGCTCACACTGTGCTGGGTTGCATGGGAGAAGCTTGTGTCAGGAGTTTCCACGAGGGGAAAGGAGATCAGTTGTACAGTTGATGATGTACATGATACATGCAGTTTTGTTCCTGGGTTGGTTGTTTGGGGGTTGTTTTTTTTTTTTTTTTTTGTTTGTTTGTTTTTTGGGGGTTAAATGTTTTAAAAAAAAAAAAAAGTTTTAGGAATCTCTAAGGGGAACCTGTAAATCTGACACCTCTATTTATTTTGCCTTATTTTCATTTGCTATGTTTGTATGTATACACTGCATTACAGCAAAGACTATTGAGACCGTGCCAGGGCATTACACCGGCTCCACAGCTGGCTTGGCTACCGAGCAGCAAGCTGAGCTAGGCAAGGGGACGCACCTCAGCAGTCCTGCTGCGGGAAGGGAGGAAAGAAAAAACTTACCTTTTGCTTTGGTCAGAAGCACTCTGCCCCTGGTGATCCTGGTCCTGGGAAAGTATGCATTTCAAAGTGTGTGGTGGACTGATGCAGGTTGGTTATTTTAGAACGCTTGCTATCAAACCTGTTTACTATTCCTCATGAATCATGGTGAGAAGATTGAGAAGAGTTGAGCTGCACCGTTGCGTGCTCAAACCTCACCCTTCCACACAAATTCTGTCCATAATGCCAGAGGAGCTTGGCTAGATGGACAAAGGTGGGTCATGCCCTGTAACTTCTCACCAGAGTTAACACGCTGTGAGACAAACTGGGACAGTTCTCCCTCCTCAGAACTAATACTCCTTCCTATCTTCAAGACCAAGGAAGAAGGATCTCCTCTGCTTCCCCTTTCTCCTCCTCCACCCCACCTCTCCAGATTATCCAGGGTAAACAAAATCTTTCTG